TTCTCTATGGGTATAATCCAGCCCATTCTTCTATACAGAGTAGATAGAATCGATCAGGTCAAGCCCGATCACAAAGGCTTCCTCGCCGTGACAAATGATCTATAGAGTAAGAGTCAGTCAGCTGTTTCCCAGTGAAATCACATTCGTATCCCGAGAAACCTACACTTTGCCATACGCCTCGTTTGCGGTATCGCGCGACTCCTTGTGGACTCTCTTCAGGAGACTCCGGGTATCGTTCTCATCCCAACCACCCCTGCCAAAGACTGCCAACGAGTAATTCTCCAAGCCTGATGTGGTGGCAAGTTAGTTGAGGAAACTTGAACTTGTTAAGAGTACGGACTCTGAACATACCATATTCCAGCATCTGAGCAAATTGTGCTCCTTTTCTGACCATCTTTTCATCATGTCCCACAGCCTGTATGGGAACCAGATCCGACCAACGCGCCACCTTCTCAAAACCAACTTCAGAAAACATGGCGGGAATCTTTGGCGTCGGGTCAAAGTCCACGCCTGCAATCTTGGCCATTTCCGAGAACCGCACCTCGAACTCGCGGCATGCCGTCATCCCGCCGTGATTCTCCTCTTCAGCCGTGGACGCAATGGGCTCGTCTCCGCTGCTGTCAATGAGGTCGAAGTACCTCGTCCTCACTTCGGCGAACTCAATCTGTCCACCGGGCTTGAGATGTTCGTACGCTTGCCGGAAAAGCGCCTTCCAGTCCGAGACGCCCCCGCCGACGAGGTTCCTCATGTGCACAAAGTCCAAGCTGTCCTTCTCACGAGCCCAGTCATGGTTTGCATCTTCTACTTCAAAGGCGACGTTGGCCGGTACAGTCGTGGGTAAGAGCGCGGCGGAGATGTCGATTCCCATGATCTTGGCCAGAGGGTACTGCTCGCCCATCTCAACGGCCCAATTGCCGGTCCCAGAACCAATGTCAAGAATGTTGAGAGGTCTGTCCTTGGGGAGCTTCGCCGCCGTCAGACCACCTTCTAGACATAGCTTGAATAGCTGATGCTGAATTTCTAGACGGGCTCGCTCGGATTCGTCATTCGGCATTAGTAGTACACCGGAACCGTGGTATGTGTGACCATAAGCCCGGATGGGCGGGAGCTCGTCAACAGAGACGGAGCTGAAGTCAGACCCGGCATCTGAGTCGTCTTCGTCGCTGTCGTGGGCATCTTGGGTATTATCTGTTCGAGATGGCCTCCTCCGTTCTTTGTGGTCCGTCCGGTTTCTTGTGGCACCGGCACCTTCGCCCCTGCGTCGATGGCCATCGCCGATGCCGGGGTCGCCAACAGCGTCAACGTCCTCACCCATTTCGCCGAGCTTTAGAAAAGACTCCGCCAAAAAGCCGTCACCAGGATTTTCTCTCAATTCTAGCTGGCGCCAATGTCGTATCTTTATCGCGTCTCTACGTTTGCAAAGAAACTTTAGTGTTCCGTCACTCTCTTAGAGCGACTCACTACACGGATGTTGTCTTCGCTCGCCAGATTTCCCAAATGGGGACTCAATCGTGGGCCCGGCCGGCTCGGGTGTAATATGGCCACACGTGGGATGGCTAATAAAATTTCCCCAAAGGAGAATAGGAGGGAACGCAAGAGATGATAGATGAAATACCCAGGCCAATATCAGCGCGGGGAAGGTGGGTTACGCACAGAGTATCAATATGGATACATGAAGTGGTTTTTCCTGTCGAGGGTTGGCGGATGTCTTTGTATTCACCCTCTTGACAACCGGTGAGGTAGTCGATGAAGGATACTAGGAAACGAAAGACAAGGGGAGCCCGTTGGCTTCTTGAATGTTGACAAAGGATGATGGCAGAACAAAGGGGACGAGGACTACGCAATGCACAAGGCCAGACGGGAAAGGCTAATTTGAAAGGGGGGAGGGAGGACCTCATGAGGGAAATGGTCATTTACCGCGGGATACTTCAGAGCTTGACTTGGACGGGATTCGATGGATGGAACCTCCACCTGTAGTGCATCATTTTTCTCTTTCTCACTCTCTGTCCTCCCCTTGCTCCTCTGCCAGGACCTAACGCCATCGAATCACACTTGGCTTCTGATCGGAGCACTTGTCCGCAAGGAGCCACTGGCTAGAGAGGAGACAGCATGGGAAGTGCGGGAGGCGGTCGACGGCGGGCCATGGAGCATGGGATAGCATGTGCCGCCCAGGAATTGGTGAAATCCATGGAGAATTTGAAAACGTGAGAGAGGAAAAAAACATAAAAAAATTCAAGCCGTTGAAAAATCCCCTCCCTCCCCCCCCGACAAAAGATGTGCATGCAGGCATGCATGCATGCAGAGAGGGACCAAGAAAACAACGGGGCGGCTGGGCTGTGGCTGGCAAGTTGCATTTACTCTTTGCGGCAAGCCATCTCAACTTCTCAAATCGTAACCTGCCCTACCCTGTGCTTGTCCACACGGGCAGGGCCTGAGCTTGCCTGCAGTTGTACGGGTAGTAGTGCTAGGATCAGAGAATGAGACAGGGTACTCATGGCACTCGAGCTTGAAGCACGGGTATGATTTTCAGGGCAACACTTGTGAAAAACACTTGCCAAAGAGAAACGCAAATCGAGTCAAATCCCGGTACACTCTCCCTACATTACAAACTGGGCTTACGCCAGCAATGTCTCTTTAGGGTATCTAAAACTTCATCTTCTCTCGAGCTCCCGTATCATACGCGCAAGGGCGTCAGTTTGGCGACTCAGTATCCTTATCCGCGCAAGGGATCCTGAGTCGGATACTCACCTTGTGCGTGAGGTAATTCCCACCTCACTTGTCTTTCTTGTTCTTTTATTCTGCAGAAGGAATTCTAAAAGCCTCTCTGCCATTTCACAACGTCCGGTATACCAGGATGCGGCACGCCTCCGAACTACCTTGTTCGCATGTCCCAGGGTCAACCGGAGCCAAGCTCAACCCGGCATTCTCTTCACGACCTCGGTCACTGATGTCTTACCTTGGGAGTACCTTAAGCACTGTACAGTACACTATCGGTACTCTGAAATAACTGCCCAGTCAAAGCACGTCTCAACGCGTTCTCTCAAGGATCGGGATGCCACCCCAAATGTGAAGGTCTAGAATGGCCCTGGCGGGATACAACGCTGGCCGGTAGGATGCTTCATAAGGGCGCTTGCTTGCTCCTTTCCAGAAAGACTCGTTTGCCAACGCGGTAGACTTTGTGGGCGATAGGACTCGAGAGCGCTGAACGGTGAACGGTCCTGGGACTGATTCCTCGCCTGCCCTCGAGTTCCACCGAAGAGATCGTTGGTTCCCTGGGCTGTCTTAGGTTCTGCAGGAAGCCCGGTCCGAGCCGGCAGACCAACCGCGAAACGAGAGACCATTGTGATGACCGTTGCTTTGTAACTTGTCAACTATCCTCCAGCGGAAGTCTCCCGATGGCAAGAGGTCCTGACGACCCGTATCCGTATGAACTGCTCGCATCTTCACGCTGCCCACCAAAGCCACGAGGGAGAACAAGGCAGGGGGGCATGGGGCCGTGGTCGACTTGCCTTCCTTGGGAGCTCCAACCGCCCAGGGTGCCACGCTGTGTTTGCCTGTCAAATGGAGCTAACGGCGTGGCAATCATGTACGCTAGCTTCTGCGGATACAGCAGAAGCTAGCCCGCTGCTCCATTGTCTGTGGTGGTTTAGCTGAAGTGACGCTGTTCTTCCCTTCCCTTCCTTCCAGAAGCCCAGCCCAGCTCGGCACATGGATAATGGAATGTGGCAGTTGGCGAAATGAAAAATGGGTTCATCAATGCGGTGAGGCAACGCAAACCAATAGCTCGACGACTATCAAGCATCAGGATCCGGATTCTCTCTGGTAATCAATTTATCAGCTCCTACTGACGTACTTGACGTCAACGGCAATGTTTTGATGAGAAGGTCCTCTTAGAAGAACCCCGTCACTTGGAATATGTCGTAGTTGTTGGTAATTCGGAATTTAATTCCCTCAAAATGAAATACAGATCTTGGCATCTGGTGTTTGGTAAATGTTCTGTCGATTCTTTTGTTGGGCCACCATCAACGCTGCCCACAAAGACAATGTTTCCCACCTCACCGGTCGTTGGCTTTTCATTTATACATGTTAAGAGGACCTTGCAGAGTGCAGCTTGAGAACGAACGGACACCAGGCTTCAACCCGTATCGGAGATGCCGGTTGCTGCTGCAGCGTCCCCTGTGTTGTGTTGCCTCTGAGAGAGGAGAGGAGAGGAGAGGGGTAGCGCCGCAGCGGCGCGACCAACAAACTTGAGCCTCTCTCTTGACTCACGTCTCCAACTTGTCACGGGCGGCGAACTTGACCGACATAAGGCCTCAACTCAGCTATCGCGAGCCAATGAAAGGGATATGACCGCTCGCAGCAGCCAACAATTCATCCGCCAGCTCCATCACATCATTTGCATGTACGACCTAGTTGAAAGGTACCTCGACGCGCCGCTTAGAGGCAATGGGTCTCAACGTAAGCTTCGAGCGCTCCCCTTCCGGGATTGGATCAGTGGTTCGCTCGCTCGTAACCGTTATGCACCAGCGCACCAAGTTGTCACAAAAGGCGCATCCCATAGCACCAATCAACCTCGCCTCCCTGCTATCCTTCGCCCTGCACAGCGAAAGCCTTTCTCGAACATGATTTCACCAGCCAATATCAGATGGCTAAATAGCCGCGGCTGGCGCTGCTCCATACGTATATCAATATGTCGGCATTTGAAGAGGGTATCTAGATAGGGTCCCTTTTGAACAACGCCGGGCAAGGTAGGTAAGGATGCGCAGCCAAGGCAAGGGAAGTGGAGATGTGACGGTAACCCCAGTCCATCTCGTGAGACGGCAAGGGCTTCGACGAGCTCCATAGTCGCGTGGCTTGACGTCTTTCCCAGGCTGATCCGATATGGGATAAAATATCTTAAAAAGTCCAAACAAGTAGGTAGTAGAAAAACGCGCTCCGCCAAACTCCCGACCACTAGACCGTTTCGATGTACCGTTTAACTTCCCTGTGTAGATACTTCGTTAGCCATGTTCATCTTCATCGCCATCAGATGTTACTCCGAGGGTTGTCACATACCAGTCTGTCACGGCCTCGTCCCAGACCCGAATTTCGTGATCTCTTGTTCCGCCAAAGTGATCGACAAAGTCATCACCGAACACTTCTCTTGCAATGCTCTCCTTTCGCATGAATCGATCATTTGCTTCACGCAGACTCTTTGCAAGCCGCACGCCCTTGTCAGCTTTACCGCCAACATCCTCGCCCTTGCCCAAAGGCGGGACGGGTATCTCCAGCTTCTTCTCCACGCCTCGCCATCCGAGGGCGAGAATTGCTGCCAGAACGAAGAAAGGGTTGGTGTCTGCGCCCGGAACACGAACTTCGAATCGCGTTGCGCCAGGCTTCGATGTCGGCGGGGCGATGAGGCGAATTGATGCTGCTCTGTGCTCCAAGCCCCATGATACTGTCACTGGCGCCCAAAAGTTCTCGACAAGGCGTTTGTAGGAGTTGACTGTGGGTGCCAGCATGGTCATGACATCTGGAAGACCCTCCAGCAAGCCGGCCAGGAAATGCCGGCCCAGGTCGGAGAGATTAGCGACGTCGGGGTATGGCGCATTCTCATCCTTCGTCTCCCGAGCGAAAAGGTTCTTGCCATCCTTATCGACAATGGAAACGTGCATGTGTCCGCTGTTTCCAGGCAAGCCCTGCTTTGGCTTCGCCATGAAGCACGGCGTAATGCCGTATTTTGTTGCGACCGACTTGACAACGTACCTGTGAGACCCACGGTCAGTGAGATGCAAGCCTGAACGAACCGGCCAACTTACTTGAACAAGCTGGCTCTGTCGGCCATCTGTGCGATTTCTCCAAACTCAAGCGCGGCCTCAAAGACACCAGGGCCACTCTCCGTATGCCAACCCTCGATATCACACTTGAACTGAGAACAAGTCTCGAAAATGTCATAGAAGTAGTCCTTGTTGTGCACCGTCCGGGTCAAACTGTAGCCAAACATGCCCTCTGTTAAGGACGGCAAAGCTTGCGGGGGGTTCTCTTGCAAGTATCCGGCCGTTGAGCTCGAGGTTTCGGCGGTGCGCGTAGGCGCCTTGAATTGGTAGAACTCGTATTCGGCTGAGTGGGATCACGCGATTAGCTTGCCTATTCTCCAAAAGGAGAGCAACGACGGAGCGTGTTTGCAGACTGACCTCCAGCCATGGCACCGTAGCCCTTGGCTTGCAACTTGGCCAGAGCATTCTTTAGCAGACCACGAGGGCACGCGCAAATGGGCTCTTGCGTATCCGGATCGAAGAAGCTGACGAGGAAGAAGGGCACATTATCCTCCCAGGGGATGCGGCGGAAGCTAGAGAGATCAGGGATGGCAATCAGATCGTGGTAGCCGTTCTCGGCGTTGCTGATCTTGAGCTCCTTGATGTATGTCATATCGTGCATATCCCAACCAAAGATGACAGAACAGAAGCCAAAGCCTGATTTGGCGACGGACAGGAACTTGTTCTTGGACACCAGCTTTCCTCGGAGCATGCCGTCGACATCGATACCGGCAAGCTTGACCTTGTTGTCATTCTTGAGAAGCTCGGGTAGCGACTCGATGGTCACGGCTTCGTTGGACGACGCCATTGTGGATGAAGATAAGATGGTAAGAATGCGCGAATGCAATGAAGCTACTAATTGACTTTGGATGGCGAATGATGGGACGAAAGCTCGCGGCTTGTAGTTGGGGTTGGAGTTGGAGGTGTGGTAGCAGCAAAGTCTGTCGTGGCAGAAGGACGAGAGGAAAGAAGTGTTTGCTGCTTTCTACGTGCGTGCGAACTGATAAATGAGGATGTCTAGAAGTAGGCCGTGGCAGAGGGCGGGAGAGAGGAAAAGAAAATGTTCAGGAGAGCGCGCAAGAGACACGAGGAACAGACCGAGGCGGAACAAGATCGTGGGTCCTGAGCAAGCCGAGAGACTGGAGACGGATGGACTTGAGGGACTTGAGGTCGGGATCTTGAGGGAACGCGGGAAGAGACGTGTAGGGCCAGCGGTACGGAGCAATTATCGTATCTTTGGAGAGGTATGTTATCCGTAGGTGGGAATGTAAGGTAGGTAGGGACTTGCGGAGTGAGCGAGCATTGAGCAGCAGCAAGAGTCGCAAGAGCAAGGAAGAGAGCGCCGCTGCATACTGCCCACACACCCCCAGATGTTTGCTCCAAAGTATCTTTCCATAGAATTGTAAGCGAGCATATACATGGGCTAGCTCCAAGGTTCCCTCGTCTGCGGCAACTGGTGTGGATTGTCCCGCCGATAAGGGAGCGCGCGGCCAATGGAATGATGCGATTTGGGGATTTGGGGGAGCTGGGGAAGCCGAGTGACGACTGACAACCTGGAAATAACCTTGCCCTCCATTGCCTTGCGCTTGCCCTTGATTGCGGTTTACGGTTTACCTAACGCTTCCGACTGAGCAATGACATAGGCCCGGAGCGCCAATCTGTTTACAACCTACCTTAAGCACGTTGAGATTTGAGTGTGGAAGGTATCGAGCCGCGTGAGCTGCTTCCCATCCTGTTCCATGTATCTTGTTCCTTGGCAATCGACGTCTGCTTCCCGGGCACCTACCTCTCGGTTCGACGCGGGGATACCATTAGCAGGTGAGCGGCACCCAGCGGCACAGAGCGAGGAAGGAGGGGGAGGGACGCTGACTTTCTCGGTGCGTCATTGCGGCAGTCACGCAGGCAACCTGGAAGACCGGGCTGAGGTGGCTAGACCGCGGTACGTTCCCAAGGAACGCACTGTCCGGGCCACGACTCCTCCCCACCTCAGCTCAGTGATGAGTCTTCTCGTTCAGTCTCTTCAACCTCAGGCACAGACACTTCTTCCCGTGCCTCCCTCGGCCAGAATGCGCAGGATCCCATGGGCGCCTTCCATCTCATAGATGCGTGTCTTAGGTAAGTCAAAGCCTGGATGGGCAGGACACAGGAAGGAGCCCAGGTGGTTTGGGATGCTATTGCTGGATTGTGACAAAAATAATGGAATTGTCTCAACCGCCATTGGGGCCACTTGCTGTTGCAGCTGGCGACAACTTGGTAGTCATCACTGTGTGAGTATGAGAGATTTTTTGTGAAGACCAATATCTTCTCCATGCTTCCTCGCACGCTGTCTCCATCTCTCTCCCTTACAACTTGCAAACTGCTCTCAGTCCCTCTCCAGTCAACAATATCACCACCATCGCTACTTCATCGTGAGCTTCTTCACTGTCGCCAACCCATCAACGCCAATTTTACCCCACGCCAACCGTTGCCCATCCCGCATGCTGCCGCGCTGTGTTGCTTGATTGACCTGAGACCGCGGCACCCGGCTGCTCGATGCCAAAAGGAACATCCCCGAACCCAGATAGATCTCTTGGCCCCAGGACGGCCAGATCCTCCGCGCTTGACTTGCCGACAGCGGGGAGTTCTGAATCGGAGGGGTTCACGATGGGGACTCAACTTCATCAGTCAATGACCCCTCTGCGGCCTCCACAGCCCACTACTATCGCTTCTACCCACCCTTGTCATGTTCTATTGTCCGCTGATACCGCACACAGCTTTCTTTGCGCAACTTTCTTTGTCGCCAGCGCGGCAAATATCCTCTTTGATCCTGTGCAATTGTCAACAATGACATTACTCGAGTACCTGCGCATCCTCGTCTCCATCTCTCGTACTGCCGCCTGCTCGCTCAACTGAAATCAATGTTCTACCGCCGCCCTCACACGGTTCACCCCCCGGACGCCAGGCGTCTATCGGCACCGCCGCCCCTCGACTTGGGGAACCCCTCAGCGCGGTCCCGAGCCGCGATCTGCCACGATCCACGAATGATGAATTTGTGAATGGTAATGGTTTCTCCGATGCGTCCGGACTCAAACACCACATGGACGTTTCTCATTCACCGTCAAGGCCCCCGGCTGCCCACATGACGATGTGAGCCTGAGAGGTGTGGAGGGGCTCGAACTGACCGCTTCCATTACCGCTTCGCTTGCCTGGCGCCTCTCTCCGCCCTTGAATTCCCCAAGTCACCAAGTGTTTCCGGATGGTACGGTTACAGACACACACCGTATTCACTCTACCACCTGCATTCTGCCGCCATGCCGCCCAACCTCACACCGTCCGGAGTACGAACACATACACACCTTGACACCTGACGAGACGCTCAGTGGCGACTTGTCTGATCAACTTTCAATCCAGCAGATCCCGAGTCTGTGCCTTTCTTGGTCTGTACTCCTAGTCCGATAATTCTGAGCTTTTAACTCTCGCAATTCGATGCTATTGGCCTGGATTCGCCTTAGCTCACCAATCCAGCTGCACTCTCGGAACCATGCACATAGGGTCTCGTTCCTTTGTTCCACAACTGGCTCTACTACATACTCCTATCCAACGTCTACCGATGATAGGTTTTTCTTATATCTCCAAGATAGAGAGATAACGCATCCTGCGAAAGATGCAGCCAGCCTCTGGAGGTAGCGCTCGCTCGACTCACCCTCTCGCCGCCGGACACCTCACCCAACCTTACCAGCGTACGGAGTACCACAGTGTCTCCCTCTCATAACGCCCCTCCATCAGACACGGAGGGGTTGGTTCCTGACTTGGACGTCCGTCATGCAACGCCGCGGTCTGACCCACTGATAAGAGATAACGCGATATCGGAACTTGCGCCCGTCGACACGTTTTATGCTCCGTATTTGGAAATTCACCAATGCATGCGATGCCGCCTATCGTTGACCGACAGCCTCCGTTCTGATCAGTGGTAGACGGACGGTTTATCGATCACGATCTAAGCCGTTTCTTTTACATCCCTAGGGCTGTACAGCTGGACAGGCACGGCATGGAGTAGGGACACCATGGCCCTGGCAACGATGCGCAGCTTGCCTGCCCAACCTGCCAACCTAGGACGGTCCTGGCTGCACCCCGTCACCCCGTGTCACATATGGGAGCCGAGATGGTGTTCCCGATGCGCCGTTGTCGGATCAATTTCGCCAGAGGAAGGCTCGAGCAGCTAATCGTGAGCAAGGAAGGGGGTGGGCGTTGATGTCTGGCGTATCTCGATATGTATCCGTACCGCGCTTGCGCGCTTTGTATCCAGTGCCTACTCCGTGTTTGCGACTATCTTAGCAGTCCCGTCCATCATTCTGTCTTAGTCGATGGAAATTGGCCAGGGCGGCAACAAGTGGCCTGGACCCCGGATTTCCTTGACTCATTTTCTGCCAGACGACGGCCTTCTATCCTTCTTCGGCTCCATTCTACTAGACCAGCCCCGTCTTGCTGATTTCTTTAAACACATCGTGCCCATCGCATCGTGGTGACCGTCCTGCTCTTCTCTCTTCTCATCAACACACTTTGTTTTCAACTTAGAGCTCCAAGCTATCAACGGGACTTTGACTACCACACCAAAACCTTCGAGCCCCAACTCGTTCCTCCGCCACTTCGCGATTCACCAACTGTGACTTGCGACTCAACATCACAGCAACAACAAAAAGACACACTCCGAAAGACATCAACACCTTTGAAAATGGGTTCCGTTCCTGCTGAGATTGGAGGTCGCCTGGCTGGCAAGAACGCCGTCGTCACTGGCGCTGCTGGGTAAGGTCACCCAATGCAATGTTGCAACCCCCCTCATGGTCTCACAGGCGCCTTATCAGCACGGCGCATCGGGATGAGTCCCCAGTGGCTGGGCGTTCACCGCATCATACACACATGGCATACAGGATCCGATAAGCTGACAAGCAATTGTGACAGTGGCATTGGCTTGGAGACGACCATTCTCTTTGCGAAGGAGGGTGCCAGCGTTGCTATGGCCGATATCTCTGCCCCGGCACTCGAAAAGGCGAAGGCCAAGGTTCTGTCGCTGCTCCCGTCGGCCAGAATTGAGACCAAGGTACGTTGAGTCAGGCTGCGAATGAAAAGTGTTGGAAGATCCCATTCCCGCCGCTCCGGCGTGCATCAAATCAAACGCCGACAGCAATGCACTGCACAACGCTGGACGCAGCGACAACAGCAGCACACCTGCACATTGCACAACGCGAAAGAAAAAAATTACCCCGCCATGCCCCGCCATTTATCTTGTCTCGTTTCTTGCCTCGTCACACGACACAACGCGAAACCCAACGACTGGGAGTGTTCCATTCAATTTGCTAACGATTTCTCTTCGCCATGATAGGTCACCGATGTTTCCAAGGAAGACCAGGTCAAGGCCCTCATTGATTCCGTTGATGCCTGGGGTGGACTCGACATTATTTTCAACAATGCCGGAATTATGCACGCCAAGGACGACGATGCCGTGAACACCCCCGAGGAGATCTGGGATCTGACCCAGAACATCAACGTCAAGGGAGTTTGGTTCGGCAGCAAGCACGCCGTTCTCGCCCTCCGCCGCAACAAGAAGACAAAGGGCTCCATCATCAACACCGCCTCAGTTGTCGCTCTTGTCGGCGCTGCTACTCCCCAGCTTGCCTACACCGCTTCCAAGGGTGCCGTCCTTGCCCTTACCCGTGAGCTCGCCATGGTTCACGCCCGCGAGGGTTACCGCTTCAACTCCCTCTGCCCGGCGCCTCTCAACACTCCTCTGTTGCAGGACTGGCTCGGCGACGACGTGCCCAAGCGCATGCGCCGCGAGATTCACTTCCCTACCGGCCGCTTCGGCGAGGCCATTGAGCAGGCCCAGGCTGTTCTCTTCCTCGCCAGCGACGAGTCCAGCTTCGTGAACGGCCACGATATGGTTGTCGACGGCGGCATGACCAAGGCCTACGTTACCCCCGAGGGCCCCGCGGCGCCTGCCCCCATCAACAACGCCAGCCGCACCAGCCTCGAGTAATGGGTGCGTTGCGCTGCTTGTTTGAATCCGATTTTCGCGATATGATACCGTATTGGGTTGGAGTTTAGGGCGCTGGGCAAGAGACTGGGGCGTACACGGCCGAAAGGCCATGATGATGAAACTGTGCATAGACAAATTGAAGGATTTATTCTTGAAGCTCACAAAACCAGTGATTATATTGTTCCGTCTGCGAGACCTCGCGTTTTGGCCCAACCTCCCATCTACAGGCAGGCAAACACGGGATATGCAGGCGAGAGGTGTACATCAAGAAACGACAAATTGATATCCTGAAAACGCTAGAAGATTTCCGCAACGCCGCCCACATGCATTTTATAGATGGCTCTCTAGTGGAACTGGCTCTCAGTGTTGCCCTCGCCCATGCTCTTACTGCTCGAGCTGCCACTCTGGATAGCCCCGAGGATTCCGTCAATATAGCTAGCGCCACTCCACTTCTGATGCGTCAAAACGTCACAGCCACCCTCCTTCTCACGCCTCTGCACAATGTTCACATACGCCAGCATGCCATCCTTCTTGAAATCCCTCGCAAGCTCGTTCGTGATGGTGGCGTTGGAGTGCAGGCCAGCAAGCGATATAAGCTGCAGCACAAATCCTTCCTTGGCAATATCCCAAATAAAGCTCTTGAGCGTCTCGTCTGTGAATCCGTGTGCCATCCAGTTGAAAGAAGGGCTGAGGTTGTAGACGAGCCCCTTGCCCGGATAGACGGCGCGGACGGCCCTGGCGAGATCTGTGGCGACCTTGACGTTGGGATCACCCGTCTCGACCCACAGGAGGTCAGCGTAGGGGCCAAAGGCAATGGCGCGCTTCGTGGCGGCGTCCATGCCGGCGCGGTAGTGGTAGAAGCCTTCGCGCGTGCGGGGCACGTCCCAGGAGAAGTAGACAGGTGTCGAGGTGTGCTCGTTGGCGAGCTTGCGGCGCTGGGAGATTCCCATATCGCGGTTGGAGCGTGTCGCTTTGAGATACGCGTCAATCTTGTCCTGGGAGACACCCTCCTTTTTCATATGCGCCACGGCGGCCTCGTCAAAGGTCACCAGCTTGGTGTTTTTGACCCAGTTGGCCTCGAAAGCGTCGATCTCGGCCCCAACCGCGCCCTTGGCCTCCATGGCCTGGATAGTCTCGGCGAGGGGCTCGAAGCTTGGGTCCGCCACGCCCAGGATGAACTCGTGATCGCGGACGTCAATGGCACTGCTGATGAGTTTTCCGCTCTCCGAATCGGTGCGGGCGATGACGAGGTTCTCGCAGCCCATGACGTCCCATTGGAAACGAGCGGCGTTGAGACGGTTGATGTGCTCGCCAATGGGGACGAGGACCTTGCCAGCCAAGTGGCCGCACTTCTTGCCGCCGTGGAGCTGATCCTCAAAGTGCACCGCAGCGGCACCGTTCTCTGCGAAAAGTTTGGCGAGCTTGAGAACGGCGGAGAGACCACCGTGTCCGGTGTCGCCATCGGCAATGATGGGTCGTAGATAGTCAATATACGGGGTCTTTGCGCGTTCTTCGGCCTTGAGCTTCCGCCGAGAATCCCATTGTTTCCGATCATGCATCGACTGCGCCTTGGCGAGACGTTGGACTTGGTTCGGAACGGTGTTGTAAGGGTAGTCGCCAAAGTCGGGGGAAACCTCGTTGGTAGAGGTCAGAAGGGAGGAGCAGGCCCAGCCTGAGATATACAGGACTTCTTGGTGAGGGGCCTGCTGGGTCATTTGAACAGGATCAATGGCGCCCACTACAAGACATAGGCGGTTAGCATGTGCCCATCTATAGAGAGGTGGGGAGAGGAGCGTCCGTACTCGTATGGATAGGCTTGCCCTCAGCTTCCCGCTCCTTGACGAGGTTGAAAAGCTTTCTAGCCATGACGGAGCTCGGGTATGACTGATGCTGCGAACCGCGCTTGGAAACCACATCGGCTGAGCTGTATGGCCGCTTGATGCCTTCATATCTCGGTGACTGCCACCATGCCTCAACCTCTTTGATCTGTGCTTCGTAGAGTTCATCCTCGGCAGTACCGGCCTTCTTAGACTCGGCCAGAAGTTGGAAGTTATCGCTGGGAGGGGCGGAGGCAGAGAAGAGGTTCTTGGGTGTTTGTGCCATTCTCCTTGTTATTGAGAAATAGCGCACAGCAGCAGCAGCAGGTGTTGAAGACGGGCCGATGAGAGGAACCCTCCGGGTGACTGCTCGCGCAGCAGCTCGTCGCATCATTGTCGTGTTTCTTTCTTCTGGAGGTAGGAGTACCGAGATGCTGCAAAGTGTGACGGAGAAGCACAAGATAGAATCTGCAAGACTTGCCCCGGTCGTGGTATTGTCTACAGAGCGATGATGCCCGCCTATTACGAGGAGTTTAGCGTCGTATCGCCGGCGAGGCAGGTTTCTACAAAAGCAAATCCGAGAGGCAACGACTCGGTACTCGGGACAAAGGATGTTACATAAGAGTAGCTGAATGGGAATAACGTGGGGAATGGACAGGCGCAATTGGGAGCGCTCAACTTCGGCGAGTGTTAGCCGGGCAAAAGCGAATCAACAGCCTTGGTAAGCAGCGGCAAGACGAATGTCACCACGTGCAAGGCCAATGTGAAGTGCTCTCATTGGTCAATTGACAAGACCAAAGGTCCGCAGTTGTGTCGGCTTGCCTCGGCCCATTCTTTTCCCCTCATCGGCCACAGACTCACAGTGCCAGCGACGTGGGGAAGGACTGATGTTAAAGCAGCTAGGTACTACGTATGGTGAAGCAAATATGGGTCTGTGAACTTCCCCGGCCACTCACGGCGCACGGGATATGGGCAATGACGCTCCGGCCGCTGGAACCCGTGCTGCCCGTGCCAAACGTGGAGGAGGAGGACAAAAAGCTGGGGTCCCGTCCCCTGTCGTTCCAGTGCACTCCCCCACCGGCCTTGAAGACCACCCCGCCAGCGTCTTAATAGCCACCATATCTACCTACCTTGGTAGGTACCGGGCACACAACCCAAGGTAGCCCGCTTAACATGGGATTGGTAGTTTCCCTACCGTTCAATGTTAAGGCACCGGACCGGCATACCTACTACCTTGCCCGTACATGGCTGGCGGCGGTCTGAGGAGTGCAGCAGCACGCTGACTTACACATCCCCTCTCCCGCGGGGGTAGGTCAGTGCCGCTCACCCAGGCTTCCCCAACCTCGGGTCAAGCTGTTTGTCTCGGCCTGCTGCGGTACCTGCTTATCTAGTAGGTCGGCACAATGTGAAGTTTCCTCGCCCGTCTGCTCGTGACTCTTCTTCCTCAAGTTTCTCCTCCTACCGTAATTTCGTCACCAGCTGCTTGTCTCTACCTGCCTACCTCCAGTACTCCTCAATTCATTTTGGCCCGATCCAGCCGATTGATTCAGTAGCCATTCAACTACTGTTGCCTCTCCCGGTCACCTTATTTCGTCCTCTACCCCTCCCCATCACTTCTCCGTCGCTGATCCTCCCTTTGAATTTCTCTCGGTCGGCAGCCATGGCTATGAACATCACAAAAGGTACCAGAGCTCTTGGAGCTCTGAGGGTAAGTCGAAGCTACAGCATACAACATACCGCTGGACGATTATGGTCTGACAACCCGTAGCCTCTGGCAGCTCGTTCTGCCCTCAATGCGCGCCAGTATTCAACTTCCGAACCTGACCTCAAGACCACACTAAAGAGCGTCATTCCCGCCAAGCGGGAACTTCTGAAGAAGGTCAAGGCACACTCGTCCAAGGTCATTGGGGAGGTCAAGGTCGAGAATACTCTTGGTGGCATGCGAGGCCTCAAGGCCATGGTTTGGGAGGGATCTGTCTTGGATGCGAATGAGGGCATTCGGTTTCACGGTAGAACCATCAAGGATTGTCAAAAGGAGCTCCCCAAGGGAAAGACTGGAACAGAAATGTTGCCCGAGGCCATGTTCTGGCTTCTTCTTACAGGCCAGGTCCCGTCCACAAGCCAGGTTCGCCAATTCTCCCGCGAATTGGCTGAGCAAGCTCAGTTGCCCGCCTTTGTCAACAAGCTTCTCGACGATTTCCCCACAGACCTGCATCCAATGACCCAATTTGCCATTGCCGTCTCTGCTCTCAACTACACCTCCAAGTTTGCAAAGGCCTACGAGCAGGGTATCAACAAGGCTGACTACTGGGAGCCTACTTTCGACGACTCTATCTCGCTGCTGGCCAAGCTGCCCACGATCGCTGCCAAGATCTACCAGAACTCCTACCGTGGCGGCGGCGCTCTGCCCGCAGAAGTAGACCTGGAGCAGGATTGGTCTTACAACTTTGCTGCCATGCTTGGGAAGGGTGGCAAGGCGAATGAGAACTTCCAAGATCTCCTCAGACTGTATCTCGCGCTCCACGGGGACCATGAGGGCGGTAACGTTTCCGCCCACGCCACTCACCTAGTTGGCAGCGCCCTTAGCGATCCTTTCCTAAGCTACAGCGCTGGTCTTCAAGGTCTCGCGGGTCCTCTTCATGGGTATGTTGTCACCACCGATTGCTGCTGTTTTGACAAACCAATGCTGACCTCCGCATAGACTTGCCGCGCAAGAGGTTCTTCGGTGGATTCTACAGATGAAGGACAACATTCCCTCGTCTTACTCTGACAAAGACGTCACAGATTACCTGTGGTCCACCCTCAACTCCGGCAGAGTTGTCCCTGGCTACGGCCACGCTGTCCTGCGGAAACCCGACCCTCGGTTCGAGGCTCTGATGGATTATGCCGCCGCTCGACCTGAGATCGCACAAGACCCCGTCTTCCAACTGGTGGAAAAGAACAGTCGAATTGCCCCCGAAGTGCTCAAGAAGCACGGCAAGACCAAGAACCCTTACCCCAACGTCGACTCAAGCTCTGGAGTCCTCTTCCATCACTATGGCTTCCACGAGACTCTGTACTACACCGCCACCTTTGGTGTCTCCCGTGGCTTGGGACCCCTTGCTCAATTGATCTGGGACCGAGCATTGGGACTGCCCATTGAGCGGCCCAAGAGCATTAACCTGGAAGGTCTTCTTAAGCAAGCTGAGAGCTCGTGAGGCAAGGTATCTTGAGCAATGTAATGAGGAATTAGATGAATTTGACTAAAATAGCTTTGCTGGTATTAGATATAGCCGGAGTTCATCCAGGAATCTTATGACACATCATCACAGGATACATCTTCCGAAGCTCTTGACATTTTTGACTGATATCGCAAGCCCAGCAACATTCCGTAGCCGAAAACAAAATGTAGTCCAAGACTGACGCATGGCCTCTGGCTGCCATTCTCTGGATGATACATTTAGGCTAGGGAACTTTGATGCCAGGCGTGAGCTTTTGAGTTTTATTTGAGTTTTATTGAGCGGTACCATTATGCCACGATCCAACACGAATTACACTGTCTTAAATAGAGGCCATGAGCACTTTCCTTATCTCGGACTGCGGTAGCCCCAGAAGCAAAATTTGGTCAAGACAATGGCTGCCGGGATCCCAAGTTCACAATACGAGCGGCTTCTTGTGCAGAGTCCCCCTCCTAGAGTGCCTGATGCCTAGCAAAGTTAATCCAAGAGATTAATATTTCGCTACTGGATGAATGACAAAAGCCGCTTTCTGCAAGTTAGTGCATCCTGGCCAATTACATTAGATAACGATGAGCACATAATGAGGCAAAACTTGGATGACTCTAGGCTAAATTCGCCTTCAACGAGTAGAGAACTTTTTGTCGCCAAAACATGATGCAGTGACACTAAGACTTATATGCTCGCCACATTGAGCGATGTCACCTCGGTTGGCCAAAGCAATATGTAGGTCTAACAATGCGTAGCACTGGCGCCTCCGCTACTGTTCTCAGAACATGGTCTGGCTTTGCGCGTAGTAAAGCAACTTCCCCTTTTGAAGAAGGCTCGCATTAGACTCAGCTCAGCTTTTCAAGGCCAAGAACTCGGGCATCAGCTGGAATCAACAATGCGTAAGCGTGGTCAGCTAAGAGGTTTCTTCGCTCCCAAGTTCTGATAGCTGGCCATCGTTGCGCCGAGACATCAAGAGAAACCTTTGTAATATTGTTGGAAGCGGCTGGTATCGTCTGTAGTTTCTCATGTGATAAAAAGTCTTTCTCGAAGTGGTGGATATTCCATTCATCAAGTTTACTTCTCAAAAGAACTCTGGCTGCATCCCTAGCCGTATCTTAGTTTGTCTAGACCGAATATGACCTGCTCAGATATCATTGGTACGACTGGTCCAGAGCATCAAATCCCAATTTTGTGGCGTTCTAGTATAGCTGTCAGCTGATGAATCATTCTGTGAGCAATTTAATTCAATTTGGTCTTCGCTTAAGGCTCGCCCGCCCGATGTGATTGCGGTTTAAACCAAATCTCTTTGATGTATCGTGTAGTCAACTTCTGGTATTTGAGTAACTTCAGGAACAGCTCTACTACTAAGCGAACTTGGCACTGTGAGAAGGTCACTTGTGAGGTTTTGTCTCGTATTCGGCAGGCTCAGTTAACCTCGGGCTCGAGGAGGACCAACTGAAGAGGGTCAATACCAATTGATAACTCTAGCCCACCGGCTATCATGTGTGCCTCGTGGATATGGGTATAAATACACCAGATCAACACCAATCTGAGAGCTGTGTTTTTCATCACTGCTCTATCGAAACTACTTAGACACAAGTGTTGATATCACCAGAGACACTGCATCGTTCATTCATACCCTTCACAACCTTACACAGACTTCAACATGAAGGGCCTTTTTGCTTTCTTCCTGGCGGTGCAGGCGGTAGCCAACCCCCTGGGGCCGACTGGAGCCTCTGATACACCTGATCCCAAGGAGATCCAGATCGTCAGCGCAAGCTTCTCGGGAAGTGGTTGCCCCCAAGGCTCCGTCTCAACCACGATCTCTCCAGACCGTACGGTCATCACCTTTGGCTTCGACAAGTTTCAAACCTACATCGGGCCGGGACTCTCGGTAGCCGAACGCTCCAAGAACTGTGCTCTTCACCTTAGCCTCAAGTATCCGGGTGGTTTTCAGTTCGCTCTTGTGGACAGCACCTACCATGGATATGCTCAGCTTGAAGAAGGGGTGACTGGAACATTCTACTCGACGTACTTCTTCTCCCAAGATGCTGCAGCCACCACTACAACGCAGACTTCCATTACTGGAGGTGGCATCTGGCTTAACGGCCAGGTCTACACCAAGCAGGACACCATCCCTACTGCGGCTCTCATTTATTCGCCTTGCGGCGCGACAGGCATCCTTAACGTCAACAATCGTATCGCTCTTACGTCCAAGAACACCCAGGCTTACGGTTCTATCACCGACGATGATGCCACGGTAGCGTTCACTCAACAGATCAATATCAAGTGGCTACCTTGCAAGAAGTAGATTGAACCGTGGTCTCCCAAAGTCACTGTTCAGAAGCGCTACGAGTATGTTTCACCTCCCAGGATGGTACAAGAATAATACCGGTGCTAGTTTCTATATGGAGCTCTACAATGGTGGGAGAAGTTTGAGAGCGCAGTAGTCCAGTACATGAGGTTACGGCATCAACGAGGGGGGGCATTGTATATTGGCTCAGCACAGAAACAGACATTGATAACCCATTTTCACCCAATATCCGTCAATCCGGGTTTATCCACGTTTTCTTTCGATCTTCCTCCACCTTTGACAATTATAGATCAAACAACAAATATGAGCTAGCCCCTTACCATGCCTCATTATCTTACACACACAGCCCATATCTATGACATCAAATCGTTCGATCAAAGATGGGAGCATACCGGGTTAGATTGTGAGTAGAAGCTATTGATGGTGACTTCTATTTACGTAGTTGCAGCCCATGTGCCATAATCTCTAAGGCCCAGGAACTGGTCAAACATCAAGAGGTTTCGAAGGCACGAGAAGAACTCAAGGGGGTATCCAACAGACAGATATTATAGAGAAGCTCAGATCAGTAAAACAAAGCCAGCGTGAGCCTTTCAATGAACTGCGTGTTGTCGCCGTTTATGATAACTACGTAGCTGGAGAAGTGAGAGTCGACACCGAGCACCGCCTCACATTCGGCCAGACTATACGGGCGTACCAAGTCATTGAAATGACAAAACAACATGTACCCTCAGCTATTTCTAGTCTACGTTGAATCCAAAATAAACCTACGTCTGTACGCAATCGAAAATCTACAAGAGAGTTGCTTTTCGACGTCTGGAGATCTCCCCGACTTCCTCCACTCAGTGTGAGTAGTCACTGGCCGGGTCTGTTACAGGAACCCCCGCAGAAGCTAAGCTTTTGTCCCGCTGCTCCACACTCCATGATTTGCGCCGCTAAGTACCTAAGCCCACCGGTTAGTGGAGTAATAAAAGCCCATCATATCAGCTGAAGCCCCTGAGGCGCATCAATGCAGCCTTCTGTCGGTGCCACCCTTCCATACTGGCCGGATCCGACCCCCCACACGGAGAAGCAACCTATTCTGTGAATCAAGGATAATCTCAGGTCTACCAACCACGGGGCCGCCAGGTTAACCGCGCTCCAACCTATCATTGACGTAGCAAGTGCACTAGCGGCTTCAACAACGTGTGCATGTTTCAAGGAAAGCACCATAATAGCCACTGATCTTGACAAAGTAGAAGGATTGTCATGTGCCTTATAGGCAAAGACAACGATTCGTTGAGGGCGAATACCATATCAATCAAACGATGGCTGAAGGTCCACCCCCGCAGCCGAGTAGGACTGCCCGGTCAAAACGGTATAAACACGAAAATAACCTTGATTATGCCATCTTAATGTTCAACTTGCCTTGGAGGGCCTTGCATCGTGGCGGGGGAAAGAGACTGCCGGCGCGCCCACCGCTGCGCTCGGATCCCGAGCTGCTGTACCCCCCTTTTCATCGCAACAGCCGGTGCTGTCTGTCTCCTGTCTACCTTCAATGTGACCTACCTGGAACTTCTCCTCAAGTAGTTGGCTGCAAGATGCAAGAGCGTACGACTCTAATCCTGGCGCAATATAGCATGCTATGCTCGCTTTTCGAAAGATATAACACCACTTGGTGCTGTAACTGCTAAATACCTGTAACCGGCATCAGGGTTTTGGAATCATCTGTTGAGATCCCAGCGACTTATCCTCATTCGCTCATCTAATCATATCTCTGGAACGATAAACTCAGCCAACCGGCCGTTCTCGGCATCCTTGGAATTGACTCGGGGTCTGTCCCTGGCTCATGTCAACCAACCGTAAGGTTATACGTACTCACGTCAGTTCAATTGTCCGCCAGACCTTCTTCCTTCAGCAGAGTTCAGAATGTTTGGACGTATGAAGTCACTAAATAGTCAAAAAGTGTGATCAAAGTTCGTAATCTGCGTATGCTTGGTATCATTAGCTGCAACGAGACCCAAGTTTGAGGTAGCTAGGCGCAGACAGCGGGTTCTATCTGCGCCAACTTGGCGATGGGAAAGATACACGCAATTACAACGAAGGAGACCTCTCCAAGCGAAGAGTACCAGTTGAGGCTAGATGAGCAATACTGCTTTCCCCTATTCACCACCAATCCAACCGATTTCTAGCTCAAATGCCAATCAGACACAGAGCATACCCCTACTACTAGACTGGCTGGATCGGTTAATTAGATTCAGGCTTGAGCATGGGAGTTCGGCCCTATTCAAAGGAACCCTGAAAAGCGTTCTTCTAAAATAAATTGCAGATCATGATCTGTCTCAAGTTGTGAAGCAACCTGGCGTCGGGTCTTGGAATGTCCATTCCCAGTGCGCCCTGGAGAGGCGGCAAGTGATCACGACTGACATCATCAGACGGCGAATCAGTAAGAAAGTGACCCAGTCCAGTCATTCCACAAAGATCTCGAATACTGGGAACCGCCAAACACGTCCATGTTTCCTCAGCGGGGCTCATAGCCATATAACTGACTTGCGTTTGTACCGCATCGAGGCGGGGACTCCCTGTTTCATCTGAAGCTTGAACCAGTCAAGCTCTTTGATCCAAGTCCAAGCCACCTCTGATAGCACCGCTGCATATACCCGTCGGCTACCCCCGTCCCGGGGTACCCAAACCCACTCTGCGTTTTATCCTTGGCGCATATGATGGAGATCTCAAGTGCCGATGTGGAGCAGTTATCTTTGCGTGAACAATATTCAAATCGCAAGAGCCATCTCAAGCATATTATCCAGCACCACACTAAATGCCGAACGACATGTTACTTGACAGGGAGACTACTGAACACTCAAATGGTTCAGGATCATATCTGCTATCCGCTGACTGTCAAGCTTTCGCCGTGGCTAGATAAAGAGACAAACAGGCCAAGGCCAATCATCGAATGGGAGTACACACCAGACAGACGCACAGTTCTTAATTTGGCATCGGAATACTTTGGAACATCAGTACGAGAAAGGGTTGTCCCGGCAGCTCGCTCGCCGCAGCTGGCATCGGAATGCCACTCAAAGTTTAATGCATGAAATCAGTCATCCCAATACTTCGCCCCTTCTAGGTGGTAGATTGCCGCATTCTACCATTGAAAAGTATGAAGTCTGACCGCACGGCAAGAAAGCCGTTCACGCAGGCACATCCGATAAAAGGTATCGCTCTTACCGTCGAAGATCATGGTTCGTTTGATGAGGTGTGCTGTCTCGACCTTGACGATTACATGACAGGCACATCTCTCTCTTTGCTTTGATCACTTGCCAGAATTCGTTTTTGTAAGGGGACACCCTTTGACGGCAATAACCATGAAGTTCTTCGAGGAAGCCAAGTCTGATTTTCAGACAGACAGCACTATCAATACAGTTCGGAGAAAGGTGGCCTCAGGACTCCCAAGATTGCCCCAAGCAACCGGACAGTATCTCATTGAGAAAGTTCCGATTGTTCAGTGGCTTCCGCAGTATCACCCGAAATGGCTCCTATCCGACTTTATTGCAGGAATGACGATTGGTGTCATGATGATTCCCCAAGCATTGGCTTATGCGAAGATAGCAACAATCCCCGGGGAGTTTGGTCTCTATTCTAGCTGGCTACCAGCTGCTATTTACGTCTTCATGGGAACTTCGAAAGGTGCGTACGGCCAATATACTCAGGTGTACTCATTTTCTAACATTGATTCAGACCTCTCCACCGGGCCAACTTCCATCATGGGCCTCCTTACCGCCGAGATTATCACGGATCTCAAGACAGAAGGGTTTGCTGCCCAGGACATCTCATCAGCCGTCGCGTTGATGGTCGGCATATACTCGCTGATTGTTGGACTGCTCAAACTCGGCTTTATCTTGGAATACATTTCAGTCCCTGTTCTTTCTGGATTCCTGTCTGCAGCTGCTATTACGATTCTTTTGGGCCAGGTTGGCTCGCTTGTTGGCCTTAGCGATGTCCCCTCCGGCACCTCGGCTATCATCAGTAACGTTCTGTCACGTATCCCGGAGATGGAGCCTCTTACAATCGCTATTGGATTCAGTGGCATTTTGATGCTGTACATTCTCGAATTCATTGGAAAGAAGTGGGGAAAGAAGAGCGCAATAATCAAATTCGCCTGCAGTAGCCGAGCGGTCATCCTATTGCTCATCTACACCACAATCAGTTTTCTAGTCAACAAAGATAGAGCAGACCCCTTGTGGGCTATCAGCAAGGTCAAGGCCAACGGTCTTCAAGCGCCAAAAATTCCTGCCGGAGACCTTGTCTCCAAGGTTACCACCAGAGCAATTGCCCCTCTCGTAGCTTCAGCCCTCGAGCATCTGGCCATCGGAAAGGCCTTTGGCCGAAAGAACAACTACGCAATCGACGAAAGCCAAGAGCTCTGTTATCTCGGTATCACAAACACCATCAACAGCCTTTTTGGAGCAATGAGCGTGGGCGGTGCCATGTCAAGAACAGCTGTGAACTCAGAGTGTGGTGTCAAGAGTCCGCTCAGCGGCGCCTTTACCGCTGGGTTTATTCTGCTTACCTTGTACAAGCTTTCAGGAGCTCTCTTTTGGATCCCTAAAGCTACTCTTTCTGCAATTATCGTACGTTCGAAATGCCCCTCCTTTCTTATATCGGCGCAAGCTAACAGACTTTCACTAGATCATGGCCGTTATACACATCATTGGTCCTGTTTCCGTATTTTACCGTTACTGGCGAATTTCGTTCATGGACTTTGTAGCTTCGATGCTCTCTTTCTGGGTCACACTTTTTGTGTCTACAGAGATGGGCATTGCTTTTGCGGTGTTGTTCAGCATAGGATACACCTTGGTTCGATCCGCATTCCCGAAGGTCAAGACGTTCTCAGCTACAAGTGGCCAGAATCGCACGATTCAGCGAGAGCAGGCGGCTGTGTCTTCTGTTGCAGAAGATACATTCGTTCCTGAAGACGCCATGCTGGTCAGTTTCACCGACTCGATCTTCTTCCCAAACGCCGGCCGCATCAAGAAGTCAGTGCTTGAGTCCGTTAAAGTACAGTTTGAACGACAAGAGGTTGGGGATCAGTCACAGAGCAAATCAGTCGATAGGTCTTGGAGTGTGGCATCGTCTAAACGCATCGAAATGTTGCGGAAGCGAGACAACGTCATGCCCTCGAGCAAGCAGATGGCTGTCATGGTCTGGGACCTGACACATGTCCCATTTATCGACGTAACCGGAGTACAGACACTTTCCGAGTTGAAAGAGGAAACGAAACAGCATGTAGGAAAACAGATGTCACTCAGGCTGGTAGGAATGAACAGCAAAGCCCGCCGCAGATTCTCTCGCGCAGGCTGGAAGATTGTTCAAGACCGCGAGGTTGACGACTCAACTCCAGAGCACGTCGATGTTGCGTATGAGACCATAGAGGCGGCTTTATGGGATAGAGACTCTGCAGATAGGGACGAAAAGTCAGGACTACAGGGAAGAGCATACTACAGCCCCCGAGAAGGGTCTCCATAGCGATGAGCTGGGTGCGTAGTCAGGTGTGCAGGTTGATGCTGGGGCTCTCGAGGAGAGGCAAGCATTGTAAAAGTGCTCCTCTTTAGTGGCTGTGTCTTATCGTTCTGATTCTTTTTTTCTCGTTGACGAGTCTTTGGGCTGCTTGCTTGGGAACTTTGGCCTTGGAAGAAACAATAAGGAGCCCTGGTGGCCCCTTGAATGATTACAACAGAAAGCATAGCAAAAACATGATGATTGGATTCCTTCTTATTTTCAATAAAATCTCAAGAGATTTTAAGTCTCCAGGAAGTAATTGATTTAGTTATTAATTACCTTGCGCCCACTCATATACTTCTAACGTCACCTTGCATTACTTTTATGTCGACAAAACCCACGCGCTTGCCGAGAACAACTAAACTACTATACTGATTGGGTAATTCCTTCTTCATTTCGCCGCATCATTCGTTTTCCCAGCCGCTCTTGTAGATTTTTGACCGCCGTGGCTCTGGCTGTTCGGGGTGTCTCCGGAGTTGCCGGGCGGGGGCTTTCCTCCGCTTGCTTCTTGAGATTCCTCTTACCGAGCCTGTCTTGAAGAGTCCTCACCGCTGCGGCTCGGACTGTTCTCGGTGTGGCAGGAGAAATCGGAGTGCTGGGAGACGCCGGGAGAGGTCCCTCCACCTGGGACCGCCTGGAATTTTCGGTCTCCTGCTGCTTGAGTGCACGGAGACGCCTAGCAACTTTTGACTGCATTCTAGCAGCTGCCGAGGTTCGAGGCCTGGAAAAGTTGTGCACATCGGATCTCATGGACCGGACCGTCGATGTCGGGCTCGCAGGTCGTGTAGCTAGTGCTGCTATAGACGGATGTTGGCTCGGCGGACGTGTGCTTGGCCGTGAGCTTTGCTCAGATATGACTCGGCTCTCTGTCCTGTACGTAAGACGTCGCCCCTCAAGAGAACTGACACTTGATATCCTACGCCTCCGTCGTCCCTCGTTTGGCAATACATTGCTGTCAGGTCGAATGCTATTGGTAATGCCATCCGCTCTGGTTACGAGGGTTGCAATGTGTGGGAGTGAAGGAGGATGGTCTGGAGTAGCCTCAAGACCATAACGAGACAATCTAAATGTCGTCGTGGTGCGTGAACTTGCCGGCTGGCTAGCTTGCCTCATCTGTAAATGATAGTTTGCCTCCCAATCCCCATCCCGGGTCGAAGGTCTGCGCCCTACGAGTCTGTTTTCTTCTTCCATGGTCATCAATGGAGTAAGCGGCCTTCTGAATGGAATATCTAGAAATCGACCGTTGATGGGAGGTGATTGCATGCCGATAGCAGTCCATCTTCTTGAATCATACCTCCCCTGTTCTTCAAGTAGAGCCTGACTACGCGGAGAGTACTCAGCTTGCCGAGGCACGGATGGCAAAATCACTTCGCCAGGCCGTGCCGAGGCATTGGTGGATATGTCGGAATCCCCTTGTCGCATACTGGCATGTTCACGCCACGTAACCCAATCATCGAGTGCCACTCTCCCGGCTGCTTTTGGTGTCGCGCCATCCCTCGTCGGTGGCTTCCATGCAAATGCACTGGAGGACACCGGAGAGTCGGGCATTAAGGCACCAGGGCGGTCCCCGAAGACAGCATTCAAGGGAGTTGGCATGGATATGCTTCTGGCATGGCGTCTAGCAATTTCGTTAGTCTTGAGTCATATTATGAACAGAAGTAAAGTTACTTACAAAGCTCTTCGCTGAGGCTCGTGAGGATTCCTTTTCGTCAGAGTCTTGCGCTTTCGCTTCTGGGGTTTGCTTGGCACACGGGGCTTTTCGGCGTGCTTCTCTATATTTTCCTGGAGGCTCGGCGTCATATAGACAACTCCCGGCTCGAGGTCGTCGTCATCATCAGGACATGCTAGTGGATCCTCGCCTCGAATGAACCAAGCTTGAGAAATGCCTAGAGTCGCGAATGGACGATCTGCCATCTCAATAACTGCAAGTACTGCTGCGAGAGAAAACCTTGTGAAGGTATTAGCTCTGACCATCCAGTCCCTTTGGATTCAATCACTCACAAGGAAGATATGCTGATTATGACATTAAGCCATGGGAGATTTTCTTGAACCCCCTTGGAAAGATCCAGTCCAATGTTCACAGCCACAAATATCGACAAAGTGATGGCTGCCACCCAAACGGGAAGACCTAGCCTAGCCAGCAAAAAGGCAAAGCCGGCAACATATTTGCCGTATTTAGTTGGAGATCCATAGTTCTTGATGTACGCTGTTCGTCCAGCGACTAAATGCGTGAAGACGTAGACGAGACTCATGCAGGAAGCAACGAAGAAAACAGCTCGGCTAAGAGGATCGAGGACCTCTGTTGACTCGAGATCCTGGAACAAGACCACAGCTGATAAAGCTATACCAGCCCCCGCCGAAATGAATAATAGTATTACCGAGAGAAGAGACAGTATGGGATACAATCGATTGGCTTTCTGAGGGGCTGTTTTTGGTGGCAATACGAGCGGCGGCACTGAAGTCGTCGCGTCCTCATAATGCTGACTCATTAGTACTCGATTCCATCCACGCGACGCAATAGTGTTGTCCGGTGTCGCCCTGTGTTTGTAGTGAAAAGACTCGGATTGATCGGCTGCCACTGACGATCGACTTTGACTCAGCAGCGTCGGAGAGTGCGATCACACAAGGCAGTGTTGCCTGAACCCCAACGGTGACATTGAAACCTTGTAAAAAACGTGATAATTCTCCGTGAATGTGGCTTGATTTGCAGCTGGACAGCGGACGAGAGGGGTTTTGTTTGCACATGCCACATAAATTAGCTATGATTCATCTGAGTTTCTGGAGTGAGCATGACGTGTCGCCTCGTTCAGACTCGAGATCAATAGCACAATCCGAAGTTGCTGAGGTTCCATCCCCCGGCAATCTAGCCGACGCATGGATGCCGACTGAGTCTCTTTGTGTGTGATCGGTTCTCATCTGATGTTCGCACCGGCATGTGAAACAATGCGATGGCCGAAATGGCCCAAACTCACGTACAGCAAATGGGCTGCGCATAGACTTCAGAACGTTTCGGGTAGCCGGATCGAACGCTGCAACGAATGATTTCATTAATTCTTTTCGTCTCCTCCCATTTTTTCATTCAAGTCGGTCGCCTCGGTAGGGCCGTTGGTGAGACGAACCTGAAGTACCCAACACTGGGCGTCTTTTGTCCTTACTTAATTTCAATGGTTTCGAGGTTGTCTTCGATTCTGTTGACAGGGGTCACCTCGACGGGTTTCGAAACACTGCTAGACATGATTTTCCTTGCGCTAGGCTTCCTTGTAGTATAGCCTAGAGCGTCTGTTTGCCCATGGGAAAAGGCAACTCCTCCACAAGGGCATTCAATTGCAAAGGCCAAGCGTGAACCGGCTCGGCCAAGAATTGCTTCCACCGGAATGGTCTCAACATTTTTAAGCTCACTGAGTTTAGCTACTGTGCCTCCCCGCTTGTAGGCCTGTGTTGTGTTGTTACATTGACAGTGGCCCACGTGCCTTATACAATAGGTGTATCAAGCGCGTGTCAGACCCTACCCCTAAGCTTCGACCATTGTTGTGGCATTTGGCCTTACTCTCTGCGTTGTTTTTGTGAGAACAACACAAATACCAAAAGAATTGAATTTATCAGCTTGTATTACATTGACGACGGAATAAGAAGTTGGGCCAGTGCGATCAAAGAACCGCTTCCCTCCCTTGCCAATCGGGTTTCCTTACAAGCCCACTCATTACGCTCTCTGCGCCCTGGGCGCGTCTTCTCCCTCTAGGTACAATAGTTTTCAAGGCAATGCCACAATGGTACATCAACAACCCAATCACCATTATATGTAGCCGGGAATGAGGCTCTCGATGATCGCCACCAACTTTCGTATCCCCATCACACTCAAAACCGCCCATTCTGGCGGCGCTAGCCTCCGTAGATAACTGACACAGTGTTCACGCTCCCGACCGCGGCCAGCGGCATCTTGTTGATCACCATTGCAGGTCTCCAAGTTCCATAGGTACACGAAGCATACGGTGCCCAGAAGCCGTTGGTTGTGGCAGCTTGCCAGCTCGGATGTTTGTCTGCAGAGACTGGTGAAGTAGCTTTGGCTCACCGAGCTGAGCATCGCGCTCTTTGCGTTGCGCAACGAATTCTTCCTCGGTGATACCGTCCCGTAAGTGTTTGTTTAGCTTTCTGTGGTCGCTGACTGTCATCCATGGCACCGGGCCTTCTCGATCGTCCGGGGGATAGTCATGGCCTGTCCAAACTTTGACGTGGTCTGGAAGACTAAGAAGCCTGCGGCCCGAGTGATAAAGGTTGTTGGCACTTCCCCCAGGAAAGTCACATCGAGCAGTCCCAATATCCACGTGGAAAAGGGAGTCACCGCAGAACACATTGTCTTGTCAAGATCATCAGCAAAAGTAAATATGATAACGTGGCGTTCCAGGGGCCTTGCCTCCGATCTTATAGCCCAGATGGTCAGGCGTGTGCCCGGGGAGATGAATAGCAGTCGCGCTCAGGTTACCAATGCTAAAACTCTCATCGTCTTCAAAGAGTTTGTCAAAAGCACCATGACGCTCTTGGCTGGGCACGTCATATCGTTGGCCAAATAAGTCCTGTACCTGTCCGATGCGCCGTCCGATGCCAATCTGTGGCTTGTTACCATGCTCCTCTGCGATGCGCTTCTGTAGGTACGAAGCTGCAGTGAGGTGATCTGCATGTGCATGAGTTTCTAGGATCCGCAAGACTCGGTAGCCCTTTTCTTTGACCAGTCGAAGCAGCTCGTCAGCTGAAGAAGTGGTGATAATTTGAGTTGTGCGGTCATAATCCAGGACTGGGTCAATGATGACAGCCGCTTTCGTCGCTGGGTCTGCAACGAGGTATTGCCAGGTTCCCGTCCTTGACTCAAAGACATCGTGAATGACAGGCTGTGTGGTATCGACAGGGGCTGTGCTGTATGAGTATCTTCCGGACTGACTTATCGCATTTGAGATATTCCGCCGTTTAGAGAGGGGCGTTGCAAAGCCGCCACTTGGTAACATGGCAGGCCGACGCGCAGGGAAGGCATCTGGATGGACGGCCCTGGTTGCCCTAGTGTCATGCACAGCACGCACCTGAGTGCTGCAAGTTGTTCGGATGAGTGGTGATTTTGCAATCCCTGGTGATGATAGACAGCACGACTGGACTTGTTTATTCACACACACGCGCATGGGTGTCATTTCGAAGGTGAGTCGCGACAGTAAATATAGGAGAGAGCGAGTGGGGTTTGGCGATGCAAGCTGCTGGAGGCAATGATGCAACTAAAAGTTGAGGATGCACAATGTAAATGGACCGAGTGGTGGGGGGTCAATCTGCCGAAACCTTTAATACTGGGAGCAACCGAAAGAAAGTTTAAACATCGAACGAGATCCCCACTGCAACCCGGCGGCTGCCCGTGCCGGTCGGGGAGTTGTAAATGAAATCGGCGACCATTCTCGCCGACTAGTCTCACCGACAAGCCGGCCGGCCGGTGCGGCTCTTTCATTGAAGGAAGCCCAACTGGATGTCAAGCCCGGGAACGAGCAAGTTTTCTCTAGCGGACGCTTACGGCTGTCGGGGGATGCTCGGCGCGGCTTGCAATCCTAACAATTTGACTCGTCTGTTGGGTCCGACAGTGGAGTGGGCCCCGCACCTCTTTTTAAGCTTCGGCGTTTTCATTTTCCAGTCGGCGCACCCCGTTTCTTTTCAGGCGCCATACTTACTTGAGTTGGCTCATCTCTGTGCTTTATCATCACGACATCTCGTGGTCCAACCCTCCCCTTAAAAAAAATACCGCCATCACCTGTTCTGCAAACTTTTCACAGCACTCCTTCTTCATCTACTTCGAAATGCTTGCTAGTCGCGTGACTTTGGCATCGCGCCATGCCAGCCGCGCCCGGATTGTTGCAAAGGCTTCTGAGATTCGGAATTTCGCGACAGTAGCCCCCGTGAGCTCCGCTGCTCGGAACCACAAAGTTGTTGTCGTCGGAGGAGGCAGCGCAGGTCTGACCATTAGCCACCAGTTGTTGCGGTCCGGCCGGTTTTCTCAGGATGACATTGCTGTTGTTGATCCGGCCGAATGGCACCACTATCAGCCAGGCTGGACGTTGGTCGGCGGTGGCCTCAAGTCAAAACAAGAATTGCGGAGGCCCCTCGAGAGCCTGGTCGACCCCAAACTCAAGTTTTACCAGCAGGGAGTAAGCTCCTTCAACCCCGAGGAAAACAACATCAAGCTTGGAAATGGCGATAAACTTGGCTACGAGCAGCTCGTTGTCGCTCCTGGTATCAACATCGATTACGGCAGCGTCAAGGGCTTGCCCGAGGCTCTTGCAGACCCCGGTTCCCTTGTGTCTTCTATTTACGGCTATGACACTTGTGACAAGGTATTCGGCACTTTCGGAAGACTTCAGAAGGGAAACGCAATCTTTACCCAGCCCGCCGGTGTGATCAAGTGTGCTGGCGCTCCCCAGAAGATCATGTGGCTTGCCCTCGACCACTGGAAGCGTGCCGGCCTGTATAACCCCAACGACCCTGCAAGCTCGTCCATTAAGATCAGCTTTGCCACTGGCCTTCCCACCATGTTTGGTGTCCCCAAATACAGCGCAAAGCTTGAAGAATTGCGCAAGGAAAGGGGCGTCGAGGGACTCTTTCAGCACGATCTCCTCTCCGTGGATGGTAACACAGCCACCTTCAGCCGTCCTGACGGAAAGGAAAAGGTCACAAAGCAGTTTGACCTCATGCATGTCGTCCCGAAGATGGGCCCCCATGCTTTTGTCAAGAGCAGCCCTCTCGCCGATGCTGCCGGCTATGTCAGTGTTGATCAAGCAACAACCCGACACACTAAATTCCCCAATGTCTGGTCGGCAGGTGATGCATCTAGTCTACCCACCTCTAAGACTGCTGCAGCAATCACATCTCAGGCTCCGATTCTTGTCAGCAACCTGCTGCGGTCATTGGACGGCGCCGAGCCTCAACCCTTGTACGATGGCTACACCTCTTGCCCGATTCCTACCGAGTATGGTAAACTATTGCTTGCCGAGTTCAAGTATGGTGGAGTTCCCAAGGAGACTTTTGGCGACCTTATTGGATTTGACCAAGCAGTTCCTAGACGTGCGTTTTACCACTTGAAAAAGGACTTCTTCCCGTGGGTCTACTACACCTCCATGGTCAAAGGAACTTGGGGTGGCCCCAACGGCTGGAGAAACTGATCTTTTCATTTGAGTATGTGCATTCTGTACTAGCTATGTATTCCTAGAAGTAGAGTGGCGGTAAAAGTTTGAATCCGCGCGGGTTTCTGGTCGACCTCAGACCTCTGCTGGTTGTGTGATTCGAATGCGAAAATTAATTCACTGGCTTACGTCCCCCAAAAACATGCACTATCCCATCGAGCACAAGAGGCTGTCAATGTAGCGTGGTAGTTACAGTAGCACGCGGTTAGTTGGAGATGCAGAGAAGGGTAAATTGATTTAGCATTCAACGATGCGCGTAGCGGAGGTTCCTCAGAATCCGGGTCGATCTTACTCTCTGTGCCGAGTTCCATTTCATGCGCTAGGCTCGCCTTATAGTTCCCATCTCGGTAGCTGTGAAGGAATACCGATTCAACAAACCCCGCGTACTACTAGTGTGGTGCCCCGCGCTGATGTTACACTCGTATTTTCATTCGTACTCAATTTTCGTATCCATCCATTTTCGTATTACCTTATACAGCCTTCCAGAGCTCAGCAAATATAAATTCGCGTGCAAAACCACTGGTTTCGGAAATCGCTCTGACGGAGCGCCGAGCATGGCCTTATCAAGATGAAAATAATAGCTCTGGTTTATCTCCTGGTTGCGGTAGTTGAAGCCAGTTATTTCAATCCCGTACTTTCTGGCTTCCACCCCGATCCAAGCTGTATTCATGTCGATGAGACATTCTTTTGCGTAACATCAACCTTTACATGGTTTCCTGGTGTCCCAGTCTATTCAAGCACAGATTTGCGCCACTGGACGCTTGCTAGTCATGTCCTCAATCGACGCGAGCAGCTTCCACAGCTGGAAAACGCGCCAACTGGCCAAGATGGCTTGTTTGCGTCAACAATTCGCCATCACAACAAAACCTTCTATGTAACGACTACCTTCGTGTCTATCACTTCATATAAGGAATTCGCCATGCGAAACCTCATATTCTCGACAAATAATCCTTTCAACGCATCATCATGGAGCATTCCTACTGAATTCAATTTCACCGGCTACGACCCTTCTCTCTTCTTCGACGATGACAATGACACCGTCTATTTCACTGGGGCTGCTGTTTCATCTACGGGCACCGCGATTGCGCTGGCTACCATTGACATCGAAACAGGGGTTCTTGGGGATCTCTCGTACCCATGGAATGGCACCGGCCTGGGAACCGCCGAAGGTCCACACCTTTACAAGAAAGACGACTGGTACTATATCCTTGTTGCTGAAGGAGGTACTAAAGAATCTCATCGCGGCTCTGTCTCCCGTTCCCGCGCTATCCATGGTCCCTACGAGGGCAACCCAGCAAATCCAATTGTTGCCGCCGAGCACTTGAACTCATCATACATACAAACAGTTGGCCATGCTGATATCTTCCAAGATAAAGCAACCGGTCACTGGTGGGGTGTCGCATTAGCGATGCGTTCAGGAGCCAAGTTCGAGACGTACCCCATGGGCCGAGAGACGTTCTTATTCCCGGTTTCCTGGCCAGCTGGTGATGGGCTGTGGCCTCGTCTGCTCGAACCCGTTAGAGGACAGATGATGGCATCACTTCCTGGCACATATATCAACTCTAGTGGTATACCTAGGATTGACCATAGCGTTGATGTGGTCGACTTTGCGCCTGGATCGGTCCTGCCCTCACATTGGGTGCATATCCGACACCCAAGGGAGTCAGCGTACTCGATTTCTCCCCAAGGACATGCAAATACATTACAACTTGAGCTATCATCAAGAAGCTTATCGTCGGTGATTATGCTGAATAGCACTTTGACAAAGGACATCACATTTGTCGGTCGCAGGCAGACAGAAACACTCTTCTCATTCAGCGTCGATCTAGACTTTAAGCCTCAATTCCCTGGAGAAGAGGCTGGGATTTCTGTGTACCTGGACGAGAAAAGACACATTGACTTTGGTGTGACGTACAACAACGAGACAAACGGCAGCAAACTACTTCAAATTCAATCATACAGTAGCAACGAGAATGTCACCGTGCCGCAACCGGTTACTTCAGCCCTGCCACCAGAATACCAAGACCGCACGCCAATCCGCTTGGAGATTGTGGCATCGGACACGACGCATTACACATTCATGGCTGGGTTTCCGACTCTATGCAACCAGAAAGCTGTGGACATGACAATAATTGGGCATGCCGGGACAATTTTAGTGAGCGGTGGATACACGGGAGTTGTCATTGGAGTATATGGAACTACAAATGGTCAAGCTATTGAACGAAAACCAGCAGCATACGTCAGTAGATGGAGATACTCTGGTAGTGGGCAGTACATAGACTATGATCTCGTGGTATAGGCTGTTCGTCTTTGTTTCTGCCAATGAATAGAGGATTACTTTTTCTTCTTTTTTGGAAGCTTAGGTAGCCTTATTACTGGGCCCATTAAACTCGGAGAGAGAGCCAATCCTGGGAATGTCATATTGTCGGACAATGCTGGACTTGGCTCTAACACCGGGCAGTAGTATCTATTATATCCTGCTTTATTTCGCCTATCGACGCGGGTCTTCTTAACATGGCAGCGCTATGTACGACGACAATGCCGCATTAAGAAGACACAAACTCCACACCAACCTGGGTACGACTTATTACCCCGGCCAAGCTGTGACCAATAGCGAAAAATAGCCCCGCCAATATCGATTGTGACAAACATGCGAACTTCGGTGGTGCAGCAGGCGGCTAAGCTTCTATTCGCGCGGGGGAACACCCGTGCCCACTCAGCAGCCTATGGACATGGGTTTTTTTGAGTGTTTGGTGCAGAAAGGCGGCGCTGCATGCGCCAAAAAGAGGTCCAACATTGACCCTATATTAGTCCACCCGCCATGACGAATCTGTCATATTCCTTTGTCATTTCTCTTTCCCTTTTTCCAAACTCGGAGCTTTTTGTCTGAACTGAGATTCAGCACCGTAGCCTATCATGGCTAATCCACCTCAGGATTTTGAGGTTCAGATCGCTGCTGACGAGGAGGTTCGTTAACACACCGCACCATGAGTGGCATGCCTTGTGTCTGATGAAATTCCTATAGCAAGATGATTCTCGTTCAGAGATGGGGACTGTGAGTATGGCCATTTCTGCAAATTATTGATGCTGCAGACACTGAATTTGTAACAGAGCATTGCGTCCTCTAGTACTAGTCTGCGCAGCTCACTCCTAGACTATCGCCGTGAGAATGGTCGTACTTATCATCGATACAAGGATGGAAGTGGGTTTTGAGATTGACTCAATCAGTTTGGTTGCTGAAGTTGTTCTTTAGAATATCAGTTCCCGAACGATGAACGCGAGCTTGATAGACTTGGTATTGATTTCCAACCATGATCGTGGGTCAGCATTCCGCTAATTAGTGCCATAGATTTGGTTAACCACCTATGTCTTCTCACGCTGGATGGCGAGCTTGGGATCGCTCCACTCTGTCGAGAAGACGCCAAAGTTGGCCGCGTTCTTGATGTCGGTACAGGCACGGGTATCTGGGCGGTTCAGTTTGGCGATGACCACCCGGAGGCCGATATCTTGGGTATCGACCTTTCTCCCACTCAGCCTAGCAGGTATGTTTCAATCAAGGTCGGTATCTCCGTAGCGAGCATTAATGCCAATATCTCAGTGTGCCTCCTAATGTGAGGTTCGAGGTCGATGATATCGAAGACGAGTGGACATTTTCACAACCCTTTCAATACATCCACAGCCGGTTCATGACGTCTAGCATCAGAGACTGGAGAATTTTCTTACAAAGATGCTACGAGTAAGTCTGATGACTTTGTAGATCACAAGACGAAACGACGAAGCTTGGAGCTGACCAGTGCGAACATAGTAATCTGGAGCCTGGTGGTTATGTTGAGCTTCAGGAAACCGCTATTTTTGCTCAATCTGATGATGGAACCTTGAAGCCCGAACATGCTTTATCCGATTGGTCCAAGTATCTCATGGAAGCGTCGATCAAGCTTGGAGCAGCATGGGTTGATACGCCTGAGCTGAGGGGAATTATGGTTGAGGTCGGTTTTGAAGATGTGGCGCTGAGTACTTTCAAGTGGCCGACGAACCCTTGGCCGAAAGAAAAACACTTCAAAGAGCTGGGAGCATGGAACAACGAAAATTTCATGACGGGGATGGAGGCAATCACAATGGCACCCCTCACACGTGCCTTGAACTGGAGCCCCGAAGAGGTCAGAGTCTTTCTCATGGAAGTCCGCAAGAACGGAAACGACCGAAATATCCACGCTTATTGGCCCCAGTAAGTTCTCCCGCTATTAGATTGTCTGGCTTATTCTTACTTGCATAGGCATGTTCTCGTTGGGCGAAAACCGGTCAAAGAAAAGCAAGGGTCAGCACCAGCTCTGGTTCCAGCTTCGGGTGCATCACCGGCTACAGCATAGCGTGGACTTACAAGAGCTCAGCCAGGGTGCAAATACTTTACCTAAAATTACTTTGATTGCCAACTTGTCGACCCTTTCTACATTATATGAGATCAAATGTGCAGACTATTGTGTAGCTGACGTTGAGATTATGGTCAAGGCAATCAACTATGACACAAAGCAAAAGCCTCGATCATGATGACCCTGCTAATCATTCTTCCATCAACTATATGTCTGCCTATATATACATACATATAGCCATGCCATGACTGGACCAACTGTGTAGGAAGCAAGCACTCTTTGCTTTCTCTAGACGTTATTCCTTCGGCTTGTACGCTGATGCTGCACTCGGATCGATAGACGACAGCTCTGTGAAGGCGTCGTCTTTCGAGGTACCGTACGTGTCAGCGTATCTACCTGATATCCACTCTCCAACTGTCACCGGGGGATATTTAGGGCCTGCGTCGCCTCTGCATTTCGAAAAGCATTCAACCACAAAATCAGGATTCCCCGAAAAAAAGAATGGAATGCTATATCTTTCCCTCCCCGACTTGTTGATGACGCGGTGCAGGTTCGATAAATACCTATCGTTTGTCCAGCGCATCATTAGGTTCCCAAGGTTCACGACGAGAGCACCCTCTGTGGGTTTGACGTCGATCCATTCCGAGGAGGCGCGATCCCACACCTGCAGGCCACCGACCATATCCTGCAGTAGAATAGTTATGGCCCCAAAGTCGGTATGAGCGCCAATACCTGTCAAGGAACAACAGAGTCAGACAGAGAGACTCCGTAAGAAGAGAACAAAACGTACCTCGCTCCGTTGCGGAGGCATTTGGGGCCTGAGGCGGGTAATGCAACAGACGCAGAACAGCGATGGGTGTGTCAATAAAGTCTGAAACCCAGTCATCATCATTTCCGATGGTGGCGCAAAGTGTACGGATGATGATCTCGGCGAGAACGCACATGGCGGCGTGGTAGTCGTCAATCACCTTTCGAAATTGGACGGGATCCGTGACGTCTTTCGGGTATTTGTTTGGGCCCAGGTTGAATTTGCGCTCGAGTACTTTAGGGTTGTCGATACGTAGGTCCTTGCCAAAGTAGTACCCTTCCTTCAGATCTCCTTGCGCTAACGCCTCGAAGTTTTGAGATCGCAAGCGTTCGTATCCCCGATTGAAGCCGCCTAGATCTAGAAGCCAGAGGGACATGGCCCCATTAGCGCTCCATCCTCGGATTCTGTTTTGTTGACTGCAAGAAAGCAACGAATTAAAAAGACGCTAGACTCACTCTTATCATACTTTTCTTTCACCTCGAGCGGTAGCGAGAATAGCTCTTTGCTCTGGTCCAAAGCCGCATCTAGAAGAGATTGGGGAATGCCGTGCCCTGTGAGTTGAAAGAAGCCATGACTCCTGCATGCGGCCTCGAGTTGTTCCACAAGAATCTTCTTAGCGCCAGCATCTGATGCGAATACAGCTACAAAGTAACATTAACTAAGTGAGCGAACGCTGTGTAGAGCATGCGGAAACGTACCGGAGAAGTCGATACTGGGAATAGGCATCTTGGACAATATACGAAGCGTAAGGGTGTAAACTACACTTTGATAAATTAACTCGAAAAAAAGCTGTACGACCGGTCTAGTCTATACGTTCAGCATCATGTATATATAACTGTGCAGAATCGAGAGGCGGTTTAGGCAAGCATCGGTGGGCGAGGGGTCAACCCAATCTCGGCCGCGGGCCAGATCTGGTCCGCGGCCGAAAGTCGGCATCACCCCACTCCCGAGCGCAATACCCGGATTTGAAGCAGATCAAGAAAAGTGTACGATCAAGGACCAAAGCCTCCGCTAAAACTGGGCATTTACTAGAATATTTCTATCGCATTGTTATCATTGCAGTTCCGACTTCTGGACCTCAAACAGCAAAGCATTTAGGCGAAAGGCTGGGGTTTTGGATGATACCTTGAGGTACCTAAGCTGGGATTTAGTCAATTAGTCAAAGATAAGATAAGAGATGTGGTCCCTCCCGACCTCTAACACGTAATTACCTCCAACCACCTCACAGCAACCCAGGCGCGCAATCGCTCCCACCTTCCAACTTTTTGCGAGTATCAAAGCCAAGTGTGGATAGAAGCATTCTTTGTGGTGATGCCTCGAATCATGTCCGCCCGTAGAAGTCAGCGCCAGACGTTATCCTGCACTGAGTGTGCGCGTCGCAAAACTCGCTGCTCCAAGACCATACCCTGTTCTTCTTGCATCGATCGAAGGATTGCGACCAAATGCCATCGCGAAACCGTGATCGTTGCCAGCAAAGACAACAGTTTGGATTGTTCAGACCCTTTGCCCATGGAACCCTCAACTTCGGCGGAAAACACTCCCGCTGGTAGTCATCAGACTCGCCAGACTCGCCTGTCAAACCCGAACGGGTTGGACCATCGTCTCATGGACAGCCAGATTTCTCTCGAACCGTCACATAGCCCTCAGCGGGTTACACCCGCTTTCAGTATTCAAGAGTCCACTCTGAACGTTCCTAGTACAGAAGCAACAGCGACTCTCGAGTTCCTGACCCATGGTCGCCGGAGCCTTCTTAAGTTGACAGAAGCCCCACCAAGGCCATCAACAACTCGTGTATCAACTTCGCCAGGAAGCTTGTCGTGTACCACCACTGCCACTGGAATTGAGTTTGGCACCTCGAATGTTTCCTGGGATACCATATTGTCGCCCGACGAAGCCCGTCGCCTACTCGCCTACCACGAAGTGAGGCTTGCATGGATGCATAATGTAGTTCATATGCCAACCTTTTTGAATGAGTTCGAAGATAGCTTGAAAGAGGAGCCTCGAGACCGCACCTGGGTGGCCCTGTATCACGCATTGTTATGCGTAAGTCCTTCAACTCGGTAGCGGCAAAGGGGTCTTCTTGTTCGTTAACGTTTAAACTAGACGACATTCTTTCACATGGAAGAAGCAGAGATGGCTAGCTTGGGGATCAACGCCGCAGGTTCGATATGCTCTTGGATGCCCATACATCCGTCCGGGACCAATGTCCGAGTTTCTGACCTTTTCTGCAGCTAGATGGGACTCTGCTCGTGCCCAGTATGATATCAGTCTACGAAGCCTTCACGATGCCAATTTCATGGCTATCCACACTGTGTGTTCCGTCCAGACAATCTGCATATTGATGCAAGTGGCCCACAACCTAGACCAATCTGATTTCATCAGTGTCATGATTGCCAGCGGCATCCGAATCTCCCAATGTCTCAACATGCATCGTCTCGGGCCAGATCGACTAGACCACGATCCAGCAGCAGAGATCACTCAAGAGACTTCCAAGAAAGGCCTGATAAATAGGGAGATCAAGAAGAGAGTTTGGTGGTTTCTTGTTCGCCAGGACTGGCTTCAAATCCCATACCAAAACACATACCTCCTCCATCCATCTCAATTCAATACACCACAAGCTCTCAACTGTCATGACCGAATGGAGTTTCCTGCGGGCGACGGGACGATAGTCGCCCAGCCAGGAAATGTTTACACCCAGAGCACCTACACGAATGCATTGTCCCAGAGTATGTGAAACACTTGGAGCACACACGGGCAAAAGCTGATAGATACCACTCAACGCTAGTTGCTGTCATCATTTGGAAACAACAAGATCGAATGTGCCGAACCGGAAGCCCTGAAGAAAGCTCTGACGGACTGGAGAAACTCTATGACCAGGTTCTTTGGGCCGATAGAGAGCTGAAGCAGCTCTACGTCAGCTTTCCTTCTTTCATTCGAGACCCTTCTCGACCCAACCTGTCGACACATGAACTACCATCGTATATCAGACAAGTCGCGTCAACGAAGTTGCTCTCTATAGCGCACAAGGTACGTGACCAATATCCTAGAGATATTGAGAGCAATCCGCCCGGGAGCATAAAAGATCACAGCTAACTTTCTTAGGTGTTTTCTATTCATCGTCATTTCTTACTACGGAGCTTTACTGATAGACGCTTCTCGTATACTCAGGTATGTTTCTACTTCCTACTAAGACTGACACAGATGTGTACTGACTGTTCGATGACTCAGCTCTCGTGTTTAGCGATAGCTGAACGATGCATTCTTGACCAAGAGAACTGGCAGAATGAGCCATCGACCGTACCCATGAGACACATGTGGACCTTCTCAACTCATCTAGTATCGTGCTGCATTATTCTAATTGATTCACTCCTCAAGTTCGATGACACACATCGTGATCTTGCCGGGGAAGCGCATTTAGACCTCAAGACTATTGTCCGAAAATTGCTGTCCATGGAAGTTTCGGAAGGTCAAGAGTTTGTCGAAGAACTGGGCGTTGAAGGAGTTCTGTTTCCATGGGACACATATGACTTTGATATGGCAGAGCTCGATATGTTGGATGCAATGGTCTGCTAATTTCAGTGTCGAAACTTAGGGTCAGCATCTTCAACTAAGTCCGGAACAATCCGATGTTATTAGAGAGGTCAAATACTCATGCTGGGAGTTCAAGCTATCACGCATGTATGTGCATGAGTCTTAAGTAACTCTTGGAAGAATATGGTATATAGATTCTGTTCATTTACTATCCTATATAAAATCTTTTATCTAATGACCGGATCCCTTGGTCGGGATTCACACAAACCCCTGTTGGTTGCAGGAGATTGTAGGGTCTCGTACTCCAAACGATTTCCCGTTCTCACAACAGACTGGAACTCAGCTCAATCCTACGCCGCCTTGTTCCTAGCGTGGGACTCTAAGATGCCAGAGTTGGCAACACAAAGGCCCCTCACCTGCTCGAGGGCCCTCGGATCAATATCCTCAAATGGAACCCCACCATCTTTCAGCTCTCTGAGTGAACCGTAAGTTAACACCGATCGGATCTTGAGGTACTTCTCGTACGTCAGCGGGAGGGCCTCGGCGTCAGGCTTTTCGCTCTCGGTCAATGAGCTAAGAATTGCGTCTATCGGGCCATGGATTGTTTAGTAGGAACACCCCAAATAATGTAGACAAGTCTCAGAGGCTCACCGTTGTTCGGATGGGTGAAGTAAACAATACTAAGCCGATCTTCCGCAATATCCAGATTTTTCCAACTGATCCTATGCATTGTTGACTTGAGAGCCCCATTGGACCAGAGCGACAACGCATCACCAATATTGACAACAACACCGCCAGGTATGACGGGGATGTGGAACCAGTTGTTCGATGGATCACGGATCTCGAGGCCTGACTTCTCGGTGAAAACAAAAGTGATGCTGCCCCAGTCGGTGTGCTCCGACAAGCGGGGGATTGCATCAGGTTTCTCGTCGAAGTGGGGGTACTTGATGAACTTCAACACGTTTCCTGGTGCGCTTTGCTTGTGGAACTTCGTGAGACTAGTTTTCTCGATGCCCAGTTGAGAGGCAAATGTGGAGATGATGGCCAGGCTGAGGCCGTAGCAGCTACTCTTGAAACTCTCGATATCACGGCGCTTGGACGCAGTCCACCAGTTGGGCAGGTTTGTGTGAGTAAGAACCGAGCCGGCTGGCATGCCAAAGCTTATGCCTTCAGATGCAGCGAATCTATAGGTTCAGTTCGATTAGATATTAGAGCTAATTATCAAGGGGTCAACCTCACGTGGTGAGCTTTTTGCCATCGTAGCCTGTTAGTGTGCCGTCAATAATGTGCGTTGCTTTTTGTTCCATGGGGAGGTCGAAGAACTCTTTAGACTATTTACGGGGTTTTGGTCAGACTTTTGATGCCAAAAAGAACCACAGGTTTCATGTTCTCGATTCGCCTACATACCATGTCAAACATATCGTCCACTTGGGGGATCCCATGGTCGGTCAGGATGAAGAAACCCCAATTCTGGCTGGCCGAGAAGACTTCCCTAGCAAAAGCATCGAATTCATTATGATAGGAGGAGAAGCTTATGACGGGAAAGCTGTTGTCCGTGGCCATGATGAAAGAATCGTGATCAAAGGTGAAAAGACTGAAGGGTGATGTACTTGAGCGCGGTGCCCGTCAGCAAACATTACGAGTCTTGCGTTTTAACATATACGCATTTCATGCCCAATTCGGAACACCGAGATAAGACTTCGTATCAATGCTATCTGAAGATACGGGAATTTTAGTCGTTGGCCGCGGGTCATCACGGCCGAGTTTTGGGTCCAAAATATCTCGGCCGCGGGTCAGATACGATGCCCGGGCCGAAATGACCTCAGAGCAGACAATCAACATGGTGACTATCCAGCAACGTTCTCGGACGCAAACAGCAAATCTTGATACGAGGTTCAATCAGTTAGCGTAAAGTGTTCTCCGATCATATTCCCCCCTTGAGTCTCAACGGCTGGATTGACAACTATTATTTAAATGATGCAATAAAAGACTCCGGGCGTAGGTGTTGTCCTGACGTCGCGCTTGAGATTGTCGGCATTTCGTTTGAATAATTGACATTTTCATTGAAGATGGCAAAATTCTATGCATCCGGCAAAGAGCACTATCATTTTATCAAGAGTCGGGTCTCCCAGATCCAGTGGAAACTGCCTGTTGAGGAGTCTTCACTTGCGCCCCCAGGCGTTGCATCGAACAAAGGTAAAAAAAAACCAGCATCACTTGTATGCTACTACATTTCTTTTTGAGCCATGTCGAGCTAATTATTTCTAGACCAAGAACCTATACTCCCCGAGCTCCGCACATGGACCAGTTGGGACTTTGCCACTTACTGGATGTCGGATCTGATTAACATCACGACCTGGCAGATCGCAGCCTCAGCCATGATTGTGGGACTAAGCACTTCTGATGCCGTGATCATAACCTTGCTTTCTGGTGTGTTGAATAGTATCCCGACCGGTGAGTGGATGCCACGCTCCTTTGAATCATCAACTCTTAGGTGCTGACACGGACCCGAAGTGATGAGCGGCGCGCCGGGAACGGACTACCACATCCCATTCCCCATCGCTGTCAGGTCGAGCTACGGATACTATCTCGGTTACTTTGTAGTCTTCACCCGTGGCGCTTTGGGCATTATATGGTTTTCTGTGAATTGCTGGATCGGTTCGTTCGCAGTGACTGAGGTAAGCATCCATGTTGCATCAGTCAAGAATGATGGAAGTAATCGGCATCTTGACACGAACCAGACTGTAGCCGCTCTATGGCCAGAATACCGGCTGATTGAGAATCATCTTCCTACATTCGCCGGTATTACCAGCTTGCAGATGATGTCTTATCTCTTGTTCTTCCTCATTCAAGTACCATTCTTTTGCATTCCACTGCATAAACTCAAGTAAGCCCTTTTCTAGGAATTTGTCACTGGATCCTCCAGCGCCTTGGCTCTACGCATGTAGTTGACATGTTGCATAGAACGCTATTCTTCTGGAAAGCAGTGTTACTCGTTCCCACTTCCGTGGGCACCGTCATCTGGATATGCGCCCGCGCTGGTAATGTGAAAGGTATCTTTTCGCAGGAGGCTACCATTCACGGGTCTGCACGAACGTGGATTTGGCTGTCGACTTTGTGTGCCAATACCAACTCTTGGCTCACGATGACCATCAATATGTCGGACTACTCTAGGCTGAGTAAAACCAGGTCAGTGGCTATGCAACCTAATCAAATCAAGGTTACAAGATTCCTAACACTCATAATACCACCTCGCAGATATGCGCCGTTTTCGCAGATCCTTACGATCCCAATCGTCAAAACTATCTATGCAATCCTCGGCATAGCCACGGTCGGCGCCGGCCGCGCCCTCTATGCGCGCGATATCTGGAGCCCGGTCGAATTGCTGTCTCTCTGGACCGGGTCTGGCGGCCGCTTCCTCGCCTTCTTGTGTGGCTGCCTCTGGATCCTCTCGCAGGTCTCCTGTAATATATCCGCCAACGCGATACCCTTCGGTCACGACGCCATGAATATTCTCCCGTCCTACATCAACGTGCGGCGAGGTTCTTTCATATGCTTAATCATCGGAACGTGGTGTCTGGCGCCGTGGAAGCTAGTTAGCACCGCAGCGCAGTTCCTCCAGTTTATGAACGGGTATGGCAGCGTTATCTGCTGCATAGTCAGCATCATGATCACGGACTACTGGTTCATCAAACGGCGCAAGTTGGACGTTCCGGGCCTGTACGACCCCCACGGACGGTACCGTTACTCTGCGGGGTTCAACTGGCGTGCGGTCGTTGTCCAGATTCTGTTCATGGAAATCACGCTCCCAGGAGTGATCGGTCAGGTCTACACTTCAATCTCACTACCAGAGGTGCTTCGTCGCATTTATGATGTGAATTGGTTTGTGTGCACATTTCTGCCGGCCCTCTCATACTGGGTCCTGTGCATCATATGCCCGGCACCTGAGAACGTCAATTACCAAGGGGAACTACGAGTCATTGAGGCAGAATCTCAGGAGATAAACTTAGTAAACACCGGCATAGTTACAAGCTTAGGTTTTATCGAGGGGCAAGAGACAAAACTGAGATAATCTATTTGTAAATATCTCATGTTGGAGTCGAAGCAGGGAGCTCCAATGCCTCTTTCCTACCATTACTGCATTGGCAGACCGCGGGGACGCAGTATCGAGGAACGGAACTGAGCGTCATTCGTTAGCTATGTATAAAAGCAAGATTTACCTTATCTGGTAGAATCTATACAAGTAGTAGCAGATACTAGCCGTCTATCTCCGTTTAAATACTGCGTTGAATGTCTCGGTTACTAGAGTGGCGTTGACCTGCGCAACCATGAGGGCAAAAAGAAAAGAGAGCGGGTGTAAATTGCATTCTGGTGTTGCAAGCTTTAGAGCTTAGGATTGAGAGTACTTGGAAAATGAAGCTGTTTTGTACTTCTTAAGGTACTCTCAAAAAGACTCTTGATTTCAAATATATACATCTGTTCCTTTATTTCACTTCTTTTTTTTTTATCTATAACTAAGGTAAGATCCATTGTTTTTAATGAAATACCATAATAGTACCCGGGTAACGGTAATCAACTACTAGCTCGAACAGATATGTACAATGTAGATATCATATCGGGCTTAAAAGATAGGAGAATAGGGGAGGGAGCTTCCGTCTTCAAAATGCATACTAAAGATGTTCTAGAATAGACAGTGATAAGGCCACTTTCAGGCAGCCAGGGACATATGCTAGTAACGTATTCTATCACTCGATGCGGAAGGTCAAGAGCCAGGGAGCCTAGGAGTCAAGACGACTATCTTAGGGAGCGAAGCCGAAATACATCTTAGCCTTATACGCCCTTTAGCATGATTGTAGGGTGACTGTCATAACTTTTGATACGTAAAGCAGTCATCTTACGAATGAGGTATTTGGATAAACCAGTATCTGGGCTTCTTCTCAGCTTATCGCAGCTCTAAACGCATATCCGCATTGCGACCTACCGTAGTACCCCGGTTTTAATAGCATATCTGCGTCGAGACCTACCAGCCACACCTCCCCTGCACTAACAGTTCCAAGAGCTTGCTAGTGTAGAAGCTTTCGGTGTAGAAACGAAAAGATATTGCTAAGAAGAATCCAGCCGATTTTGGGGAATGCTTTTCTCTTGATGCACCGGCGCAAGTGCAGAAAGGGAAGGTGGGTTGGTCTAAAATGTTACTGCGCGCAGCAGACTTGGAATGACTGCGCCCTCCAGACATCGCGATCTTCCACAGTGTCAACAGATTATCAGCGTATCACCACTCTGAATTACGGCGCTGATCAGGAAAATGCAAGGAAAGGCGACCTCATCGTAGCAAGCCGGGATAGCAACGACTTCGACAAGATGAAGCTAGTTACCTCCCGCCGCAACCGTGGACCACTTCGCTCGACGATGTCATGTCCAACAGACATTGAGGTCCTTCCTATGTCTTTTCGAGTGCCATAGCCGTCTCTTATGTGCCACCTAAGTGCATGATGGCCCGAGTCGAAAACCACCCGCAATCCAACCCCCTAGCCAGCAGGCCTGAACGAGCCTACACAATCGCTTATAACTGTGATCGGCAAGACGAATCGCTAGGGCAATTGATTAATCCTCGTTAGATGGCTCTCACCGACGTCTTCGTATCTGAACGCAAGCGAGGAACTTGTGATGCTGTACAATATGGGCATATTGTTTAGTCAGGCCACGTCAACAGATAGATCACGCCAAATTGTTATCAACTCGTATCCGTATCGTTCTCTCAATCACGTTACATGTTTAAGTCTAGTTTCCACCATGATAGAGATATTTTTGTGAATATACCTAAATCGAATAATTCAACCTCAGAGCGAAAAGCTATCATAGAGATGGACCCGTCCAACCGCCCACCTTCTCCTTCCTGACTCTAGCCCACATACTTGAGTTCGTGGCATATCAGTTCACCATTGTCATTTTCAACAACATCGTCTGTATCAGAGACAATAAGGGAACCGACGCCACCAGGGCCCAGAGCTGTAGGCAACCAGGAGCAAAAAAGAACTTGCTCAGCTCGATGATGGAGAAGACGTCGTTCTTACTGCAGCCCCGGCAGGTGCACTGATATCTCGTGCCTATCAGCTGGCAATACCTCGCGGAACACGAGTTGCTGTAGGATCCCCTACGAGAGATTAGACTCTTTGGCATATGGTGCCAGAAACGACGGCGGTGATGTGAGCCGAGGAGAAGCAGAGGGGTATCCAGATTCAGGGGTAGCTCACCTTAACGCGCTAACCAGACAGCCGCAAGAGTTGGCTAGGCACAGGTCCAGGGAGACATAGCTGGTCTTCCACGAGCCGTCGATAGCTCTGCAATTAGCGCACAGGAACGTCGGGTAGACGTTGCTCATGCTAAAGGAGTTGCACGTCGCGGCCATTCCTCACCCCCCCCCCCCCTGGCACAACTTGGCGCGACTTGAACTCTCCCGGAATGAAAGGTGTGCTCTTCTACTGTCATGCTTCAACTCCCTCCCCTGGCGAGTACATGTAGGCTATATCATGAAACGAAAATGATCATCTGAGTTTCCAGACCGTTTCTCCAAGCCCGGGAAGTTTGTCGAAACAAAAGTTCCTGTCTCTTAAAAAGGAGTAGTTGCCTTACAACAGCCCTCATTCTCCTCAAAGCGTGAGCCGCGGCAGGATAAAGATGGAATGCTCGGATATCATCCACTTGTTAGCAAATGTAGTTCTAAGCCCGGCTGGAGAAAGCGAATGCTCCGTGGTTGGAGTAGTGGGCTATAGTCCTGTCGAAATTCCCCCCAAGCAACCTAGTCGATGAAGGCAAGCGAACCGATCGAGCTCTCCTACCAACAGGTAAGACTAGTCTTCTGATATATAAACGACTTGGCGAACCGCGACTAGTGCATTACATAATGACAGGACTTACGGTAGTAAATATTTCAACCACAACCTGGCCCTTAGGACTGGACTATGGCTTGAGATTGAATAGAAATTGTCGCTTCATAGGTACTTCCCAGAAGCAGTTCTCAATAGAAAGACCGCCTAGCGTGAAAGCCCCTTTACCTAGTAAGGTATCTTGATCAATGCTCCTACCACCCCTATCATGAGAGCAGAAGAATCTTGGGGCGATGTTTCATAACTATAGCCTTAGACGATACATCTAACGATATAGTGTGGCTGTTGCTCGGTGGAGAAAATATAGTCATAAAATAGTTAAGGATATCAATCCGAGCTATAATGAATATGAGATAAGAGAAAGGAAGTCAAGAAGAAGGCAAGGCACGCGAAAGACCCATTGCCCGTCCTTTGGCAATTTGTCTCTTCTATGTACCATCTAACCTTGGGTGATGTAACCAGATGAGAACTCTATACGATTGCCCGTAGAGTCCGCAACGCTATTTGAAGTATAGTCGTAAGCCGTGGCCACGACCGTGTACATCTCGGGGTTCTTCACCGAATTTGCGTAGTTCAGCTTAAGCATCCTGGACACTTGATACTCCTCTTGTTGAGGAGCTGATATAAACGTGTTTTCGTTGCCGGGAATGAGGTTGAACAGCTCGTGGAATGAAGTGGCGGCTGACGGGAACATGTCCCAAATTGGCTGCCTGCTCCCGCTGGTTCTCGCCTTGATGACGCTATTCGCGACGGGGTTCGGCGCAACAGCCCTCATCCCCTTTATTTTCGGGATCAAGGCAATTTGAGTCGTGCCAAAGGAGGACGGACAGAGGGAGACGACGCTTGCGCCTTTGTTGTGGCTCGTAGCTGCGATCCGTGTGAGTATAGGCAGGAGCTGGTCTATAGCCGACTGATTGCCACCAGGCATCATTGACGGCCCGTGTCTGGCGCCTGAAAAGCCCCAGATACTCCCATACCAATGTAGGCAACATCAAACGGGCTAAAAAGCTGCTGCCTCGCGTGGCATGTCTTGTAGTTCTCATTGGAGGCATCGACGACAATGTCTCCTTTCCTGACATACTGTAAAATCTCGTTGACGATAGCAACACCTGGATCGCCGAAAGGTAGATTAAACATGAACACTCTTTATGCGCCTAGGCTAGAGACTTTAAAAGTCCCCAAAAGAGCTGACCTTGGAGGCCAGGCCGGCGTTCTGTGCGTTTCTGAGTGTTCTCTATAGGCTCTGCTCGGACGTGCCATAAATCGAGACTTATAGACCATTCTCGACAAGTAAAAGCGTCAAAGCACCCCCCATGGTGTGTAAACCAATGATACCCACCTTCCAATCGGCCTTGTGTGAGCAAACATCCGGAAAGTTGGGAGTTGTGAGACTCACAGTCGTGATCTCCATTTGTACTGAAAATGCTGATTTTGAACTCTGTCAAGATGTGTGATGAATCAACTCAGGTATTACACAACGGAAGTAGACAGTAGTGCCACAAATTCATCAAAGGCTCTCAGCCTGGTCATATGGTAGTGCTATCTATTATGTATGGGCTAGAGTAAAATACAATGCGGTTTGGCAGAGTTTCCTTACTATCCTTGCGCCACCCTATAGATCCCCGCACTTGCGTGTGGTAGGTGGGAGACAGGCACGGGTGAGAGCCGAACATCCAGGTGGTCAAGCCGATTCGGAACAAGCATAGGATATGACACGTGAATTGAAAACATACCAAAATAACAACGCTCTATCCAGATGTGAAGGTGCTTGAGATGCGAAAAGATGGGTCTCATGGATGCAATGATGTTTCGTTGGCTGTAAGGCAAAGCCAAACCGTATCCCAAAACTGGTTAATAATCAAGGCTCTCTTAACTAAAAATGACTACATGCCGTGGTTCAATGCCAGAACAATATTTTACTGTGCCGTATAGCCACCATCAACTGGCAAGCAGACTCCAGTGATCCACCTCGCTTCCGAGCTTGCTAGGAATATCGCCGCACCCACGATATCCTCAGGAAGCCCGATGCCGTGCAGGGGATGTCGTGCCCTAATTCCTTCGATATCATCTAGATTGGCCACCGTATTCTTAAAGATGGCGGTTTGGGTATCTATTTCGATCAGCCCTAGTCATATCCTCGGTTTATGGAGCTCCATGGAACATACAGCCAGGACAGATAGCATTACAATGAACGCCCTCGGGAGCATAATCCATGGCGACCTGTTTGGTAAGATTGGAGACTGCACCCTTGGATGCAGCGTAGGAGCCTGGTGCCTGTCAGTTGAGACGCATAATTTGCTAGGCAGGTACATACAGTTGAAACGTCCCCCAATAAGACCGAAAATAGAGGAAATGTTGATAATCCATCCTCGGTCAGCACCTTCGTTCTTCTGCTGGGACATCATCTGCTTGAGAACGTGTTTAGAGGCCAAGAAGATTGACCTGACATTGACTGCCATGGTCATATCCCAGATCTCGTCCGACGTCTCGTGGATACGAGCAGGAGGTCGATTTGCCTCTAATGAGATCCCTGCGTTGTTGACGAGGCTAGCGCAAGGACCGTTAGACAGTACAGCCAAGGACAGTCAACACAGAGAGATATAGTTCATTGACTCACATGTCGATGCGTCCAAATTGAGCTACAGCCTGCTTGACCAACCGTTCAACTTGATCAGACTTGCTCAGGTCGGTTTTGACAAAGAATGCCGTTCCGCCATTCTGCCTGATGAGGTCGTCGGTACTAACACTCCGTTCCGCTTCTACTTCAGCCCGAGCATCTCGCTGTAGGTCAGCACAGACAATCTTGGCGCCCTCGCGAGCGTAAGCCGTCGCGATAGCTCGGCCGAGGCCTGAAGATGAGCCAGTAACTACGGCGACCTTATCTTGAAGTCGAGGTGACATTTTGGTGAACAACGCGTTTACGTGAGGGTGGTTCATAAGCAATACCTACAGCAGATTCCTTGTCTTTTAATTGCGTAGCAAGTGGTCGCTTAGTTACTCTTTTGGTCAAGTGGGGGTTTGACCGGGGAATGGGGCGCACTACGCCCTCTCCGAATCGAGGAATGGACCCGAGTTAAACCCCCCACTTCCTGAAAAGGCAATTCCAAATCGAGAAGACCCACAGGGAAGGGGGTTCTTCATTTTATCTCTTTTTTTTTATGTTTCATTCTTTGCCCTCTTCGTTTGTTACCTTAGTGGAGGGGCCTCGAATGGGGAAATTTTGATCTCATCGATCGAAGAACTCTCTGATCTGAGAACCGTAAGAAGGAAGACCGGCTTCCTAATCTAGTAACGTCGGGCCTCATCTCCTATGCGCGCAACCAGCCTAGAATTGATATAAAACGCTCACTTTGATAATTCCTTGTCCATTTGCGCAAAGGAATCTCTCTAAATCCCGACATAGGTCATTGAAGTGCACCAAGATTAAAACATAGACATAGGGAACATGGGTTATCCTGATAATTTTGAAGGGTTCGTCATCGATTCTCAGTCGGAATGGACCAAGTTTCGCAAGGCGGCAGTATGTATACCCCTCCTCGATATGTCCCGGACATTTTTTAAAGAAAGAGCAGTTCAATCCCCAGCCTTTCCAAGATCGAGATGTAGACATAGCGGTCGAAGCATGTGGCGTTTGTGGCAGCGATGTGCACAAAATCTCTGGTGGGTGGGGTCCCTGTTCTCTGCCTCTCTGTGTTGGACATGAAGTTGTCGGACGCGTTGTTCGCAAAGGGCCCGAAGCCTCGACCGTTGATATCGGAGATCGAGTCGGTGTAGGAGCTCAGGTCTCTGCCTGCCTGGATTGTAGGAACTGCTTGTCCGACAATGAGAACTATTGTCCTCACCAGATAGGTAAGATTTCAACTTGCTCTTTCGGATTCATCAAACCAACGCTGGCCAGACACTTACGACAGCCCTTATCCCGATGGTACCATGAGTCAGGGTGGCTACGCAGGCCATATCCGTGTCCACGAGTATTTTGTCTTCAAGATCCCGGAAAATCTGGAGTCCAGCGCAGTGGCTCCCATGCTATGCGCTGGTATCACCACGTATAGCCCGCTGGTTCGTGCCAACGTTGGACCTGGGAAGAAGGTCGGCGTGATTGGGATGTAAGGATGATTTCACCGCTCTCCAGAATGTTGGACTGACGAAAATTCATCGTCATTCAGCGGTGGCCTAGGACATTTTGGAATCATGTGGGCAAAAGCGCTCGGAGCTGAGGCCTATGCCATCTCCCATAGCCCTCACAAGGCTAAAGATGCCCTTGCACTGGGTGCCAAGGACTTCATCAGTACTAGCGCTCAAAATTGGCATGAGCCTTGGAAGTACACCTTCGACTTCATCCTCAACACTGCTGATGCTACAGACACATTTGACCTCAAGACATATATGAGCACACTGGCTGTTAACGGTGTGTTTCACAATGTTGGCCTCCCAGACAAACCCTTGCCTACCTTGACGGTTTTTGACTACATGCCTGGCGGATACAGTATGGCAGCCAGCCACATTGGTAGTCGGCCAGAAATGCTGGCAATGTTGAAATTGGCCAGTGAACAGAATATCAAGAGGTCTGTAGTACGCCGAACTATTCTAGGAACAGCACGGCTAACATCTCCAAGCTGGGCGCAAGAGATCAATATCGGCGAGTCGGGTTGCAAAGAAGCTGTAGAAATGGTTGATCAAGGCAAAACTAGATATCGAGCAGTCTTGGTGGGATACGACAATGTGTTTGGCAAAAGATACTAGAAACTTTTCAATCTCATGCGTCGGATATAAGAGTCCAAGAATTCTTGTTGACGAGGGCGTGTCTTGGCAAATAGAATGATATTATCTTGTCAATCTGATTTTATCAATAACTAACTAAATGCACACAATCTTCAAACTGGTTGTGCCATTTCTATCCATCCCTGATATAATTTGTCCCGGTGGTAGTGTGTAGTCCAACCTAGATCCGTCTCGATCGATGACAACAGGTCTTGTATAAGGCTCTGCTCTTGAGGGTCATCCACTACTTGTCCAGCAATAAATAATGGTAAGATAGAGTGTATCCTAACTGAGTCTACTGGATCTGCTAAGTTAACGCCACATATCTCTCGCGCGTGCCAAAGAACTCTTCGCGGAATTGTGCGATAATGACGTAGGCGACTGGCAAGTGTGGAACGGATGACTGTCGATTCTTGAGGCCTGTTGGCAAGAAGTAAGATGGACACCATGTGATACGTCTGCATGGCCGCAGCACAAACCGGAAGTTCGTACCATATTTGTTCAAGCTCCATCGAGGCACAGCCAGTATTCGTTCGCGCTATCGCTTCAAACGTAGGCGGGAGACCACTTTGCCATTTCCGAAGTTCAGTGTCCAGAACTTCCCACCTTTCAAGCAACTGCTCTTGAGTCACGCCAAGTGGAAGTCTCTGATCAAGAGGGAGAGCGAAGTCCTCCGGGTTCATGGCGTCACCTGCAGTTAGGAAATTGATCACTTTTCCTAGAAGCCAGAGAAGCTCATTACTCTTGGCGTCCTCGATTATGTCTGATGAGGCGTCGCAGCGGGTCGAGGTGAATGGGCTGAAAGCTAGGACTTCCCCAGTGTCATCCACAGCCAGGCCAGCGTTCTGCCAGGAAGGTATACTCTCGAGATTCAGACGAGTTTGTCGCTCACTAACAACTAAGAATAAGTCAACGATGGATTGATCCAAAACGGAATAGGAAAGACAAGGACGGACGGACATACAGGCACATATGAGATCCAGCCGGACGAGGTTCCAAAAGGCCGAGCCTTTCACAGTAATGCGGGGAAGTGTCATTGGGGAGAATGCTGCCTCAGTATTTGTTGAGGCAAACATAGGCAGCGCATCAAGATGAGCTCGCCATCCGTCTGCGGGAGCATCCATCATTTCAAACGTGCCTAACATGGCGACAGCAGCGAACACATTGGCAGTTTCCGCCGACTCCGCAGCGCCCTCCATGGGACCGAGCAGATAAATGGCCTTTTTCAGGAGCTCAAGTGCGCGGCTATAGTACTGAGCAGCCTGATATATCCATGTTCGTTGAGTGCTTGGTTGAGATAACCGTGATAAGCTCTCAACTAGGGAGCGAAGGGTAGCGGTGGCGGGCTCGGCGGACATCACTCGACCGAGATGTTTCGCCGCTAGCGCGCAAGCAGCGCATTTCAGCAGTGGATCCGATGTCGCCATTAGAGGTACTGCAGTGGAAAAGAATGCAGTCGTGTCGAATAAATCCATCCTTGGTCTTGATTAGCAGGCCACAGACGGTGATGAGACATGTGCTCGCTAACCACTGACTCGGTACTTGGCTAAAGTACCGCATTAATTGAATTTCAAAGACTTTGACTTCTTCCAATGCCTCAAAAGGTGTGAACGGCGTCGCTGTTGTATGAATATCATCCTCGTAGGCCGTGGTAGGGAGCGGAAGCATATCATCCCGAAGCGTGCCATGGTCTCCAGCTAATATATCCGGCGTTTTTGCAGTATCTGTGAGGTGGCTCTGTGTCGGCGTCTCCGGAGTGTCCAGTTCATATGGATTTTCGATGTGCACGAATGTGACTAGGACAATCCGCGTGTTAGATACAAGTAGAACCGTCGTGGGATGAAATACAGACGCTTGGGTGGTACTTGAAGCCACACATTACTCTCATCAAAGAGGTCGCTATTTGGCCCAGATCTTCCGTCACCCCGGGTGAACGTGAACGATCCGTTAAAACAGCGGAAAATAGAACCTTGGAGGAACTCGCAAGTGCGCGAACCCCTACGACAAGGCCCACACGAGGGCTTTGCCTCATCGCATTTCAACTTCCTAAGCTTACATGCCGAGCTATGTTTAGTCAGCCCAATCACGAATAAAGTGAGGAGGAAAAGGTAGAACAACCAGCCAGAGCGCGACCTCATTCTTGCTAGGTATGTCAAAGGCCTAGGGTTCGGAGTAACCGAGCCGAACGGATAAGTAGCTGACAGGCTAACCAATCGATTGATTGAGTATAACTTATGCCTGGAAAACGGGTTTTTTTTGAACTTGGTCGAAGCGCTTTCTGATCAGGATGTGGATAAATTACGAAGGGTAGCTATGTAGGGAAATAAGATAAAGTTGGAAAGTCTAGCGAACGGCGCTCGGTCGCTTTTGACGTTTGAACGGCCCGGCTTAAGCTCGGCACTTATTCCTCTACTTCCCATCCCCCTGTAAGTCGCTACGTGCTAAGCTTACTCGCACTGACTCGGTAAGTTAGCCGAAGGCTCACTACGGAAATAGCGTCTAATTATATGCTCGCTCCATTTTCGGAGACCAAAAACTATACGATACTGATTCAGCACTCAAAAACTCTGATACGAAACATACACCTTAGCCAATGACGAACAATTGAATAACTTTGCATTGAACATCCATAGTTGGATCACATTAAAGATGCATAATTCAGTCAGGCAGAATCAACTGTAATTTGATATATGGGCAACTCGACTTAAAGCTACAAGAATACCATAACCAAAAGCCTGGACGTCTACTAGAAAATCCTAGGTCAGACTCGCGTATACATCCAAGACCCAGTAGCAATAGCGAAGCTCATGACCAAAGCAAAAAGTGTCCCCGCCCCTGGACCTAGCTCCCTCGCAACAACCGCTCCATCTCTTGACAGTCTGTATGAGAAATCACTCCAAGTAACGAAGACACTGCGAAGCCAAAATCGATACTGCCAGTCTGGAAACATGATGCTGTTTCTATTGGTGTTTGGCTCGATGAACCAAGACGTACATCCACTCGCCCAAACGAGCTTCTTGGCTTTATCCTGTACATTTGTAATGTCTTTATCTTCAGCACTAGGCGTGACTTCGACGACGTCGGGAGCATTCCAGATTGACGGCAGACGAGACTTGCTATTGCTCAAAGCTCGCATTATTGGCGTTATCAGTCGCATTGTCAGGTTCATTTGGCACTCAGTTGTGTAGATGACGGAAAGATGACCGCTCAGAGTGTTGGGTCCCATCATCATGAAAAAGTTCGGAAATCCAGCAACACAGGTACCAAGATAGGACGATGGGACACCCTCACTGACGTTATTCCACTGAGCGTCGATTAGCAGCAAGTTTTTGTCATGACAGGAACCAATCTTCGAAAAGCCGTTACTTACGTGATCATATAAATCGACACCACCCTTGCCAAAAATTTTCATTGGAAATAGAAACTTCTGAGTCTCAAAACCATGGGCGAGAATGATGGCATCGGCAGAGACCACCCGCCCAGACTTGGTACGGATGCCGCTTTTGATAATTTCCTCTGCAGGATCATCATAGATCAACTCGACGTTGGAGCGGTGAAGGCTCTTCAAGTAACCGGTGTCGTTAACGCGTCGCTTACAACCAATCTCACTCTTCGGAACGAGGAAGTCTCGGTACTTGGCAGGCGAGCTCTTGCGGATATACTCAGTCGTCTCGGCAGTCCAGGCCTTACGCATGCCAGCACCAGTGGTGAGATCGAAGCCACTAAAGTCCCGCTCTTTCTCCCAGTAGAGCTTAGCACGATAGATACGCATGGCAAGCGGCACATATCTCATCGTCAATTTGAACAGGGATGAATACTCGGGGTTTGGCCTCTCTGCTAGCCAATGAGCCTGCCGGCTGAATTGGGTCACTTTGTGGACAGCGCCGGGGCCCTCACTGATTGAGGGAACGACCTGGGTGGCACTGCAGCCATTCCCGATGACGACGACATCCTTGCCTTCCCAGTCGAACGTGTGATCCCATTGAGCTGTGTGGAACAGGCGACCTTGGTATGATTCGAAGCCAGGGATTTCGCACTGTTTGGGTATCGACAACGCGCCAACAGCAGAAATGAGGATCTTGGCTCGGCGAAGGTAGATTTTTGACGTCTTAATGTCGCGGATTTCAGCGAGCCAGATCCCAGCCGTGTCGTCCCAAGAAGCAGATACAACTTCTTGTCCGAAACGGACATGACTGGGAATATTGTATTCGGTCGCGACGCTGTCAAAATAGGCACGAATCTCAGGTTGTAGGGCAAATTTCCTGGACCAGTCTGGGTTCAAGGCAAATGAGTACGAGTAAAAGTGAGAGGGAACCTGACATAGTCTCAGTTAATGTTTAATGGGTCAGGTCATACATATGTGACACTTACATCGCAACCGCAGCCAGGATACGAATTAAGCCACCACGTGCCGGCAACGTTATCGGTCTTTTCGATAATCTCGAAGTTGCGTGTACCGTGTTGCTGAAGAAGCTTGACTGACAAGCCTATTCCGGACATACCCGCACCGATAATAAGAACATCCACGTCGTGACGCATCTTTACGGTCCGTTCGTTCAGTTGTTTCATGGAAGATCCAAATGTTGTTGCATCTCATATCAATACCTGGGGGTTAGGCGTATATGTAGACAGTTGACGAAAATGGGCAGCGTCGCCAGCCGGTTAGGGTTAGGGTTAGGGTTAGGGTTAGGGTTAGGGTTAGGGTTAGGGTTAGGGTTAGGGTTAGGGTTAGGGTTAGGGTTAGGGTTAGGGTTAGGGTTAGGGTTAGGGTTAGGG